ACACACACACACACACACACACACACACACACACACACACACACACAGAGTATAGAATAGAATAGAAACATGAAATAGTGAATGAATCTTGTAAATATAACTAAATACAAACACACACTTCTCACTCCTATCATGAAGTGAGATTGCTGCCAGTATGATTCTCCACTTGTCTAGAAGAATGTACTTGTAGCACCACACACACACTATTGTAGATACACACACTCACACTTCAGCACCATGCACACACACACAGAAGCTAATAAACCAGTTCTATTGAGTACCAGTGAGGGTCAGTGGTAATAATGGCTGGCTGCTCTTGACTCCTTCTCTCTCTCTCTCTCTCTCCTTTCTTTCCCTCCACTCTAAATTCAATTCTCTTTTCAATGTGAAGACCTTTCCCCCTCTCCCTCCTCTCCTCTATTCGCTCTCTCTCGCCTCTTTCATCTCAATTCCCTTTTTAGCCTGTAGAGCTTTATTTCAGCTTAGTCCTGTTTTATTTGGTTTCAGTGGCTCTTGACACGGCGCAGCACTTTCAGGTTAATGTAATTCGCAGCATCCAGACTTCCTCTTATTATTAATCAAACAAAAGAGGCTGAAAAGCAGAAATGAAACTCTTGGAATGGCGTAACAGTTCACACATGTATGAGTCTTGCTTTTTCACTACATTTAAAGAATTCAACAACATTACATAATTAAATTATTTAAAAAAAATCCACATCATGTTTGCCTTTCACTGACAACACAAATAATCTACATTTCTCGAGGTAAAAAGTAGTGTATGAACAAATAAGATTAAGACATGTATATCATTGCATCATATTAGCACGAGTAGTATTTCAGTGTCTTGCATTAAAATTGTAGTTAAATTCAGGAAATATTTTTTCTGGGAAAAACCTGGACATGCTCAAATAAACCGTTTTGGAACTAACTGCCTGAAGACGTTAAATATCCATCTCTTTTAAAAGCTTATTTTTCGAAAGTTTCATTTCATATTTGTTGATGTTTGGTTTGGCTCTGTTGCCCTGCGGCTCTCTGCGTGTATATCTTTGAGTTAATGTCTGTCTGTTTGTGCGTGTGTATGTGATGCGAGTGCGTGTTTAATATGAATTATACAACAGCCTTGAGCGGAGTCTCACTGGTCAAAGACACACCCGTGACAATGCTGATGATTCCAGTGGACTCTGCTAGATGAGCTTTATTGCTTGTTTATTTTGTGATTGGATATTGGTTGCCAGCTCTTGTGGCATGAGGCCGGCTGTAATTAGTGATCTTGTATTTGGGGATCAGTGTGTTCGTGTCATACAAGCTGCAAACAGAGGTAAACAATATTGTGACAATATTTACCTGCTGGAATCTGAGAGTTGTTAGACACAGAAGAAAGAAGTCAGCCGCTGGGAATTTTCTTGCAGACCTAAAAGCTGAAAAGTATTTTCAAGTATTATTTGCCACATGAAAGCAGAGCAAAACTGTATTTTCAGTAGATATTACGGAACTACCCACTCTTTCAAGAAAAGCTGATGCAGTATTATCGCAACCCAAAAAATGTATTCTGAGGACGGGAATAAAAGGATCTTCTTGCTACGTCTTGAAAGCACACCAGATGGGATGGTGATCAAATGTTGAGCGGCTTTAAAGGCACTACGTGATTTTAGCGTCTTTCAGATTATACTGATAGGACAAGTTTTTGTTTGTAGAAAAAGGAGAAACTTAGAGGAAGTTTTGTGCAGTAACAGTCTAAGCCCAGTCATTCTTAATGTGGCAGATTTGTGTCTTTTTGTCTATGTTCAGACTGCAAGCCTTAGTGGATTTTTTTCGTTTGGCTGTTCACATTATTCTTTTTTTAATTTGGCCAATATCAGATTCTAGTGTGAACTGGTCACGGTCCTGTAGCCCCAAATACTAACACCTCACTGTGCCTCTACTGACTACCTCCATTGAAAAGATCAGATTCCATGTGATTTGTGCTGTTCTCACTGTCATGGGGGGAAAAAAACCTGATCTGAGTCACATATGCACAAAAAAAAAAAATCTTATTTGGGCCACTTGCCTGGAGTGTGAACGTATGATGCTACTACTTCAACAAAGTCAGAAATCAGAAAACCCTGCATAGACCTTTATATAGCATGCAGCTGTCTGTGTCGATATGCTTCTGCAATTTGTGATGCCAAATAAAAAAAACAAGAACCATCAAAATATTCCAAATGTCGTCTTTTTATTCACAGTTGAACACGTTCCAGGCAGCAGCTCACGTTTACAGTACATCCAAATGTGCAACAGCATCATCACTCTGTGTCTGTGTCTCTCCGCTGCCCCCTAGATGTTCCAACGGGTACTACGGCCAGCCCGCCGTGCCAGGGAGATCCTGCCAGCCCTGTGATTGCAACGGCAACCTGGACCTCTCCACGCCGCGTAGCTGTGATCCAATCACGGGCCAGTGTCTGCGCTGTCGTCAAGGCTACGGCAGCGCGTCTTGCCACAGTTGCGCTGACGGTTACTACGGAGATGCCATCATCGCAAAGAACTGCCAGCGTGAGTAAAGTGACCGGCGACGAGCATCATGTCGCACATCTGTCAGTAGCTTTGATATGTTTGCTGTAGAGTTTGAGTCACTGTGGACAGTTAGTTAGTCCCGAAAGGTAAAATGTAAACGTGAGTAATAAAATACTTGAGTTGGTGTTGATATTAGTATAGTACATTTAAGATGTATTGTTAAAGTGCCACTATGTAGCGCCTGGTAAATGAAAGTGGGCCTCATAAGCAATAGAGCACGCTCACGCTCAATTCAATATAAACAAAAATATACGTAGTTTTCACTATATTAGGTTTTGGTATCACTGTCATGATGTTATTTAAGGTGTTTATAGGACACATCAGACATTGTACAGTATCAACTTCCTAGCCGTAAAGCCCATATTTGTAAGATGGTATATGTATTGAATAACTTTGGCAACTCGTAAAGACACTGAACGCCACTACCTTCCATCCCCACAGGCCAACCCTGGCACACTGAGAATGAATTGGGTAAAACTAACATATTGATTGATTTGTCTTGAGATATTTAATGAACAAGTGATGCTATAATCGGATAAAAAAACAATCCTAATCGTAGGAACTTTAGGAGGGAAAAGCCAATATGCAGTCTCAGCAGGGGGCGTTAAACTGAACAGTTGTATTTCCTCTATGAAACTGAATTTTAGCTAAATGATACCTTTTAATCCTTTTACTAAAACACTGAGTAGATACACCATCTGGAGTGTGTGAAGTGTGTGTGTGTGTGTGTGTGTGTGTGTGTGTGTAGGTGTGTGTGTGTGTAAGACTGCATCGGCAAGCAGCTGTGCCAGTAGGAGGTGTGATGTCGGAGCGGCCCACTGACTGCCAGCTGTGTTTAAGAGTGAGAATAAAAAAACTATACCTGTAAAATAAAAGAAAGACTGAACAAGAGAGGAGGAGAGAGAGCGATGGCAGCGAATACAGATGTACAGATGGCTCTTGTTTATTGAAGATCTTCATTTAAACCTGTGCTGTTGACGAAAACAGTGGCACAGGCAGCGAGACAGGCAGGAAGACATAGATTAACAGAGAGACGCCTCACTAAGAGACAGACAGGCAAGGCCGATAAATAGACGGATAAAACCCTCAGACATGCACAGAAGCAGGTAGACAGCCTGACGGGGGGTATTAATGTGTATTTGATAGTTCATTGTTCTGGAGTTGTTTCCCCTCTCCAGCCAGCTAAATGGTTATTGATTAATCAGCCTGATCTATTGCTCTCCTACAGTGCCGATCGGCTGCTCGTGTCTTGGAGTTGGAGGGGTTGTTATTGATCGCGTACGAATGACCACCAGGAATTATTAAAACACAACTCTCTCGCTCTGTCTCTCCTTCCGTTTGCCTCGCTCTCCCCATCTCTCCCAGTCTTAATGAATTTTATTGAGTGGAGCAGGAGAGTTCATGCCGAGTCCATTTGTGCATTATTAGACTGTACAAATCCTTTACTTTTTCTTTTGATGTCAGAGTTTCCATCTGCGGGCATTTCTGCTGCAGCCATTTTGTGTTGCTGTCTAATAGTGGTTCAGTTTAATTCAGTCGGGGGTTTGAAAATGGTTTGATTTTACAGGGAAACTTGACCACAAAGCAGTTTGTTTGAGAAAATGATCTCCTCTGACCATTTCTCACATGGGGGAAAGTCGCTTTCAAGTTGCTTTAAAGATGTGTGAATTTCACTCTCACACATTTGTTTAATCCCTGGTACAAAGTAGATCTGTTGTAATTCAATAATGTAATGATGCTTTCTGCGTGTCTGACCCTTAAATGAATGTTTCATAGATACTTCGTGCAGTAGATCAATAAACTCTAAGGGGAACTTTGAGAAACCTCACAACTCTAACTTTACCTCTTTCAATGGACTGTGCAGTCTTCTGTGCTGAGGCTCTCACCTTTTATTGGACTGATACAGTAGGCCCCAAAAATGTGTGCCAGAATTAAAAGCCTGGGCAAAAGAGAAGAGTCTGAACCAACAAAATTCATGAGAAATCACAAAGCAAGGCAGTCTGAAACAATTACAGCCTTTTTTTTTATCACTGTGTGAGTGTCATTTACGGTACATATTCATCTTTTTATGAACACACTTTATACTTTACATACATACTTTATGATCTTAGATTAGATTAGGTAATTGCTGACATTTAACAGAAAGTTCAGTGCGAGGAAACACAAATTTCATGAAGACGACGTAGATTTTTCCAAATGTAAATTCCTTGATATTCTAATACATGCAGAGAGAGCTGAACACCTTCTACATGTCCTACATCGGGGCAGATGGAATTTTTTAACATACTGTACCTCAGTATTTTACATGGTCTGATTTTATGACAAAAAACAAGAAAACCCAACCTGAAGGAATTGACTGTTTGTTAAAGGAATACTTTACCCACAAAATGGTCATTTCTATATCAATTGCTCACCCTGTATTACCTTGAATTCTTGACTTTGTTTTCCCGCATGTCTCCACGGTGAATGAAGAATCAAAAACTGAGAAAAGTCTTGATGAATTGAAGTAAATGGGGGGGCCAAGTTATCTGTGTCACCCCGTTAAAATCAAATAAAAGCATTCGTTTTCAATCTCTCACACAACTCGTGCAGTAAAATCCAAGTCTCCGTATGCTCACTACATCTCAACACATGCATCTTTGCTAAAACCTTACTATTTAAAACACTTTGGACAAGTAAGGATGCGCACAGAAGCGCATGCGCCTGCACAAGCGTTTATTTTTTTATGCATGGTATCATTTTTTCTGTGACTTCATATTCAGCTCACATGTGCGTGGACGTTTTATACAAGGGTAAAATTGAAGTATAGATACAAATTGTGGATTGTTTGGTAACAGAACGTAATGTATTTCAAGTTGCCACAAATTATTACCTTCGCCATCAAGGCCAGCACTGAAAATATACACAAAAAAACCACAGAACAAAAAGCAACATTTTATCCCACAACAAGGCTTGCATTGTATCGACTGACAGAATGGAGTCCAGATGGTCCCCGAAGGGTGAAGCTAGGGGGCTGAGAGACTGTGTGTGAATGTGTGAGTGTGTGTGTGTCTGTGTGAGAAACAGAGACGGACGTAAATTTGCATGTTTTCTTGTATGTTTAATCAGGCGTGTGTGTGTGTTTGTACGTCTGCATGTGTGTGGTTGAGTAGGTGCGGGGGGCGGGGCATGCATGCCTCTCCGCATTCGTGTGTGAAGCAGAAATCCATGTATGTGTTACGGTATGTGTGTTTCTGCATATTTGTGTGTGATAGTGTGTGCGGACATCTGTTGTACCCCTCTCTCTCTCTCTCTCTCTCTCTCTCTCTCTCTCTCTCTCTCTCTCACTTTCCCATCCCACACTCAGGTCTGTCCTTCTGTCTCATTTACATCTAACAGTAGAGGCAGGAGGTGAAAGCAGGCGACTAGTACGCACGTGTCTATGCGATGAGATGTGTGCTACTAATTTCTTGAGAAAGGTGCATGTGTTTTTCCTTTTTTCTTTTGCGTATACAGTATGTGTGTATGCATGTGTGCTTCTGACAGCCCATCCACCAGATGGGAGCTGTGATGTTCCAGCTTCTAATTGTATATCTAAGGGTCTGATTGGCGTGTGTCTTTTTTTCCACCCCTTCCCGTAGGATTTGAGCAACTTTAATAAAGTTGCAGTATCTCAGAAAGAGAGAGAGAGAGAGAGAGAGAGAGAGAGAGAGAGAGAGAGAGAGATTTGAAAGGTCATATGTGGGAATAAGTATTGATATTTCTGTAAATAACCCATTCCTGGAAGCATAAAAACTGCACACACATGACAAAGGCCATGGATTCAATGCCAGAGAAAGATGACACGAGGCAGAGATGAGAATCTTGATGTGATTTATGAAGTTACTGTGAATATACTGTTATTACAAAATGGAATGAAATCCTCCAAAAATTCCCCCAAAACTGCTTTGATTTGAGGTTTAAGGTTAGTGTTAGTCTTGTATACCTTCTTTTTACTTTTTATTTATTTATTTTATGATTCGCACATTTGATTTGGCATTAGTTTTATGCCGGATGCCCTTTCTGATGCACACACCCCATTGACATTTTAATCACAGGCTATTATGCGGCTGTTTTTTAGCCTTTATTATTGACCGTTGAGATGGCAGGAAATGAGCTTGAGCTACTCAACACAGTTCACAGTTGAAACTCTTCCCTTTATGGTTGACACCATGCATCAGGAGTGCCTGTTATATTTTTAATTACACTCAGATTCCAGTAGTAGTGTTCTCCATTGTGTTGTATTGGATCTTCATCTTTGCATTCTGGGGCCCTAAACTGTTTAGAAATGTTGAAAGTTATTAACCAAAGCGTGGATTCTCACATCGGTTAACATTTAATACCTTAATATCTGGATGATATCTAGCTGATTGTTGTTGCTGAATTGGTGTTGTAGATCATGATGTTCATGGGGTAATAACCACATTCTGCATTCAGGAAGATTTATTTCACTTAATTTTAAGCTGAACTGCTGAACTCTTTTTTTTTTTTTTATAAATCCGACAACATTTTAGAAGATTTGTCTGGCATATTGTGGCTGAAGGGGCAGTGTGTGAATGTCTGCACCCAGTGTTGTCTTCTTCCCTAGCAGCAGTCAAGAGGCCTTTTCAGAATTCAAATTTCAAAGCCCTAAGCAGTATTTAAGTGGCTTCTAAATTGAAGACAAATTAAACTAAAAAAGTTCAGTCAAGTCATCTTTTATGTTCTCTATTGTTGTCAGTTTTTGGTTAAATTGAAGGTCAGGGGTTAGGGTTATTTAGGGTAATTGTGGCTTTGTCTGGAGGGAGGGCTTGCTTGCTCTGCTTTTTGCTTTTCCTGTTTACACCTGTGCATACTGGACACCGGCTTCTCTTCACAGCAAAAAGGGCAAATCTACATTCTCAAATAAATGAAAATGTGTTATTGTCCTCTTTTGCAGCTTTGCTTTTTCATTAAGGCTCAAACTTCTGGCCAAACAAAATCAGCTACCAGACTGATCTATTTAGGGAAGAGATGATTTTCTCTAAAGTGCGTTCAGAAGGATATTAAAATGCATATCGACAGCTAATCCTGAAGAAGACCTTAAGCAGGATCGGAGCTTATCCGGTCGAGTAGTGTGACGTAAATTCACTCCCCGACTTGTGTTATTGTTAACCCAATGTGTTGTATTATACAGTATGTACTCATGTAGAAAATGCCATTAAGAAATGATAATTGATCAAATATGCTCTCTCTTTTCCTCTCCTCTCCTGCAGCCTGTCAGTGCCATACTAATGGGTCTGTATCTGAGCTCTGCAACAAGGAGACTGGACGGTGCCAGTGCAGAAAAAATGTGGTTGGACGACAGTGTGACGAGTGCATAGTAAGTATTTTGACAGGTGCCAATAATCTTTACAGATATTGCAAATGTGTGTTGGCGCCATTCCATTCATTTTTCCCTGGTGGCACTACGTCTACCCTTTTCTCTTGTTGTGATCGTGCAATAGCAATCTGTAAGTGATGAGCGTCCTGTGGTCTCCAAATTCCATTTATTGTGACAATGCTTTTATTGGTACTACACATTTTACATTTACACAATTCTTTTCATTATTTTACATCAGATGTGTTTTTTAGTGAACCAGAAATGTGTTACCAGGTAGGTCAGGCGGATTTATGTTCCTTCTATTTGTAATTCACTCCTAGTAATTACTGTTGTACTATTAATGAGGTGGTGTAAGGAATTAAAGGAATAAAGACACCTTTTGAGTCCTTGTTACTCATCAGTATCCTCCAGAAATCAATTTGTAATGTATATATTTGTTTATATTCCTTCAGTTTTTGCTGTGTCAGCTATCAGGTTGTGATAGGCAAAGCCACACATGTATAGTTTCTTCAGGACAAAGAAGATGCAGCATTCTTATTATTACTAATCATTTCACACAAAAGGGTTATTGTTTAAAATGTAAATGTTTTTGGGAGTTAAAGCTCATCTATAGTCAAGTGCTCTTTTCTGGTGTAACGTTTGGGTTCCTTTGTTATCAACATAACTATATTTGTAATAATAATACAATGAATGATGATGGTAAATAAGCATTTTTCTCTCCACAAAAGTGACATGTTTTTGTTTTCTTTTTGTTTTTCTTTTTTTCCACTTGTTGTACTTTAAGTTTGTTGTTTTTATTTGTCCTGCTCACTCATTCTCATTGGTCCCCCCCCCACTCCTCTGCGTTGTGATTGGTCCAGCCTAACTGCTGGTGGGATGCTGAGCGTCAGGATTGTATTCCCTGTCGCTGCAGCCCTCACGGCTCTATGTCTCAGCGCTGTGACATCGAGGGCCGCTGCATCTGTCGCCCCGGCTTTGTGGGCCAACGCTGCGACCTGCGTCGCCAAAGTTACGAGAGGCGGGAGACCCGGAGGCCGGTGGAGCGGGTTCCCATAGAAGTCGTGCAGCAGAGATGGGGGGGGTCCTCCCGCACGGGGGGTTGTCCCAGGGGTGCATACAGGCCTAAGAAAGGGGTAACGCACACTGCATGGTGTGTTTAAAGTAGCATGGGTGTGTTCACTTGGTATGCAAAAATGCCAGATATTTGTGTTGCTGAAGAACATGTGTGTCAAGGATTAAACTTGTGTGTTTTTGGATGTGATGGTTTGAGGCACACATTTTTTTAAATATTGCATGAAAAGGGAGGTGTGTATCACATGTGTAGGCATCCGCAAACGTACACGTAATCAGCAATTATCGACACATTTTGATATAATTGTGCCAGTGAGACATCATTATGAAAAATGTCACCTCTTAAAGTAACTCAAGATGTTTGTTGTTGCTAAATTGGTGTTGTAAATCATGATGTTCATGATTTTTATCCACATTTAAAAGCGTTGAAGCGCCTGTCTTGGCTGGCATATTGTAGCTTAATGGGCAGTGATGAACCAACACGCATGACGTTGTGTTTTCTTTTCCTTAGCAGCAACAAGGATGCATTTTTAGACTACCAAACATCTTTCAAAGCCCAGATGCATATTTAAGTTGTCTTCTAATAATTCAGTCCAGTCATCTTTCATGTTGTCTCCTTATCCCAGAATAGTAACCTTGAGAAGATTGAAAACCCAAAATATTTCATCTTTATTCCCTCATTTTTTCCTCTCCTGTTTTTCATTTAATCCTCAGGAACAAGTATTGCATCTCATGCCATTGTAACCCCCTTGTTTCTAAATAGCTTGAGTGTGTCTGCAACTTGTCTTACCTTAAATCCACTACCTATCCTCAACTCCATTTACGACCCCTTTGTCTTTTTCTGTATTCCTCCAGGCCCAGACCCACGGCATTAGCACAGGTGGAGTGTGTGTCCCGTGTCACTGTAACTCATTTGGTTCCAAGTCATTTGACTGTGATGAAACCGGTCAGTGTCGGTGTCAGCCGGGCGTCGGCGGACCCAAATGTGACCGGTGCTCACGAGGATTCTTCAACTTCCAGGAGGGCGGCTGCACACGTAAGCATAGACGATGATGTAGACAGGGGAATGTTTCTTTAAAAAGTTGACTAAACCTGACATCAGCCCACAGAGCAAAAGTACATGTACAACTCAATCCACTAGAAACCCTGACAAAGCATTTACATTTGTCCTGTGTTTATCCTGTAATTTATAATGAAAGTATTATCAGCAAACACAAAATGCTGGCCTAATTAAACTGCTGTTCTGCTCTTCTTTCTTTTTAATATAAAGTTTACACAAATTGTCTGCAGTGCAATCCCATTAAAAATAGGTGTATTATGTAATTTCAAAAATGCATGTGCAGTCCTTCACACCATAGTGATTTGTATGCCCACAAGCAGACGAAAGCTAAAAATCGTTCACACAAAACATCAGAGAAAAATATGACAAAAATGTTATGAATGTGAGCCGTTGGCTTTAGAGAAATGAGTGCTGCTTTGTATTCATAAATACAATACTTTGTCAGTGCAGGCTCTTTTTTTTCCTCTTCCAGGTTCACATGGACATAATAAAGTTGGTATCTATGCTGTACAGCAAATAATTTGTAGTTTGAAATGTCATCAGTTTCCTGCATAAACCACAAACTTTCTGTCTTACGAAAGTCAGACTTGCAGAAATTATGAAGACCTCATGATTTCATTGCTATTGATGATCATGTATTTTTGACATCACACAATGTTTTATAAATTGTTCTGCAGTTTTCCCCAGGGATATGAAACATGCGTCTTGGCAAAGGCTATAGCTACATAAACAAAGCACCCATCCATACACGGATTTATATATTTAGATGATGGAAGGAATAAATGAAAGGCTGAAGGAAATTGGGAAGCAATAAAGAACGGTCAAATTAGAGAATCAAGGACGAGAACTGCCTCTTTCATTCATGCAAATTAGATTTAATAACCTTCAGTAATCTTTAGTTTACTGCAACAAGGCATTTTGGAAATAGATTTACATGTATTGAAATTGTGTTAACACTTTCTTTGTATAATTTCCATCATGTCATGATCAGTGCTTGACGTAAAACTACAGAGGTTCCAGCTAATTCAATTTCCACAGTTTTACTGCAAACCCCTCTTTCAGTAGCAGTTATTCAAAGTTAAATCAGCATGGATTTAACACCAAAACACATGACCATACTCCTCATGACCATACACCTCAAAATAAAGGTCAAGGTTTGCCCAAATTGTACAGCATGTCTCTGATTCAAACTTACAGCATGCTGGTATTGGATGTGTTGGAAGTGGAGATGAAATTTTTCTTGCAAATGTGTGAAAGAAGTAAGAGGCTGTACTCTAAGATGACAGTGGCAGCTGTTGTGCAAAAGTTACATAAGATAACTTTAAAGTGTAACTTCACCTCCAGGTCTGACCTTAAAAACACCCACTGCATCATTTTGAAAAATGCAAAAAGGAAAAGTGGGCTGGGATGTGAAACCACGAAGGCCTTGAAACAGCATCAACAGAAATGATGGCTACAGTAGTAACGACATGGCATGGGGCACTGAATTTGATGGAATTACTGTTTATCAGACCATAAATGAGACAAGAATTACGCTCCAGGGTCCCTCCGCCTCACTCCCAACTGCTGCGAGACTAACTTTTTGCTGGGAAAAGAGTGGGCGCCAGCTTCGGAGAGAGACCGCCACAGCTGTAGCAACTCAAGCGGCCGTTGGCTCTCCTCCCGGCAGTAGTCTCCTAGCGGCGGTGAGCAGGACCCAGCGGCAGGCCACCAGCCCCCTAATGTTCTGTAAAAATGAGCCATGAAATCACGGTGGAATTAGCAAGCTAACGTTAGCTAGCTAACTAACTAGCCACTAAATAAGAAAACTAAACAACTCAATGCTTCATCTACAGTACACGCTCTTGTCACAGCATAGGAAAGTGCATTGCTGTATCCAGATATTTGTGCATTAATACTTATTAAACAAATGTAATGTTCTGAAAGCTTAATTTCCAGTACACAGAAAGGAGAAAACAGGCCTTTGTTGTGCTGTGATTGGAATGCTGCACAGTGGTCACGGAAAAAGTAAAAGCGGTGGGGGAGAGGAGGGGGTCAGTTTAGAGAGCGTTAAAATGATTTTTTTCATATCGTAGATTAGTTCCAAACTCTTTCTCAGAATTGTTCTTGCAAAATTTGGGCTGATTTAAAACAGATACAAAATGAACTGATAAAAAAAGTGTATATCTGAAAGCAAGTAACTAGTTCGTTACCAGAGCTAAGGATTTTCTTTATCGTTGCCTGAGGGTGTTACGTCATCTGAAAATACTTAAGTTATTTTTAAATGTCTATTATTGTAAGGGAATATGTTCACATTTTAAAATCCAACGCCCTACAAACTTGACACCGCAGGCAGCAGGTGCAGCAAACTTGTGCTGCCTAAATTATTAAGCATCCATGCACCCAAAGTAGGACTATGAATAGCTTTTTCCACATATCACCTTATGCAATTTATTAATGCCAACCACTATTGACAGCCAAGAATAACAATAATAGGTCATGCATCAGGAAGACAAGATAGGACTGGAAATGATTTGCTTTGGTTCATCTTCAAATCACTACCACAGTGCAGCGGTTCGGTTACAGTAATAATATGTTGGCTTAATGTGTTTAATGTTCCAGGCAGTTTACTGCAGGCAAGTCAGAATGCAAATGTCCACAATGTCCATGTGGTTTTCACAAATGAAATTACAGAAAATGACTAGCTGATGACACCTTACTTTCATGAACAATTTACATGAATTAATTTGGTGCTCACATCATTAAGTTGATTGAAATATTATCAAAATAATGCAACTTTCCTGTGAAGATGACTTCACATTTCACGGGCGTTAACATTTCTATTCGACAATTGTACTGACCTAGAAAGAGAGTCCTCTGGCATTGGCAATTGTGTTTTCTGGGTAGTGGGGGTGAATGAGTAAGTTATTTGGTGGCTTAATGCATTGAAATTAGCATTCACCTCCGTATCAATCGAAAGAATTCTTCACTTCTTCCATTTTCACTTTTAGTTTTTGTTGAAGTTGAAACAAAAATGAACTGAAGAACTGAGTCCGTTAGCCAGCATGTCAGAAAGAAAAGAAAACGGTGTTGTTGTTGTGACTAAAAGAAAAAAGTCACTGAAAAAAATAGCTTGTAAACCATTGATTTGTCTGCCGCATTTAAAGCATACTTTCTCTCCTGTTTTACAGCCTGTCAGTGCAGTCATGTGGGGAATAACTGCGATTCTAATACAGGACAGTGTATCTGTCCTCCAAACACTATTGGTGAGAGGTGCGACTACTGTGCTCCCAACCACTGGGGCCACGATATCATTACTGGATGCAAGGTAGGCTGAAAACTGGATTTACAAAGAACTGTTAGTTGGTAACATTTGTGTAACCTACAGTTCATGTGTTAACACATAGAGTGGCTTACAGTAGCAACCCCACTGGAAGGATGTGTATATATATACTCTATATCCTACTCTTATTGTCATAGTGCTTGTTTACACAGCTCTCTATCTGTATTTCCTGCTCTATCATTCCCATGCCTCTCTGTTTTGTAACACAACTTTGCTCAAAGTGTTTGAAAAGTAGTTGTTCCGATCTAAAACCATCTCTGCAAAGGGCCGCCAGGCAGTAACAACAGTAAACTATAAGAAGTAGCAATAGACTATTGGCAATAAGAGGCTTGAACACGAACACACAGTTAGTCCCAGTGTAACAGCAGACGGATCCAGAAGCGTTCATCAGAACAACAAAGAGGGATACAGAGCTGATCTCGCTTCCAAACAAACATAAAACGGTGCCAAAGACAACAGAAGAATATTCTGTTGTACGTCTTTGAAACTCTTTAGGTTAACTGTTGTCTGCACTAAGGAACCAAGACGAATGTTTGCATTGTACGTTGTACAAAGGTTTCTGTTGATGTCTGAACAAAGCTCAGTTTGAATCATTAAGACTAATGAGAGCACCAGAAATAATCTCTGTCTTTGTCTTTGTGTTTGTGTGTGTAGGCGTGTGGCTGCAGTGTGATCGGCTCAGTGACCCAGCAGTGTAACGTCAACACAGGCTGCTGCATGTGTCGCGACTCCTTCAGAGGAGAGAAATGCAACGAATGTCGAATTGGATACAGAGACTTTCCTCAGGTGAATGATCTGAATGACATTAACACTGCTAGTATTACTACTATCGCTGGAGGGAATCTCTGATGGGATTCGATCATTGGGGGTTGATAGTCTGTGGGACTCGACTAGGACAAGGGAGAGAAATTAGACATGACAGTGCTGTTATTATGGATTTTATGAGCATAAAAAGCCCCAATAAACGGATGTGTTTCATGCCTGATTGATGAAGCCTAATGGTGTCATCACACCACTGGTTTTATTTAGCACTGAAGTCATCTTTACTACAGAGCCAAACTGTTCTGCAGAGCTGCAGCTTATAAGTCCTCCACAACTTGAATTGATGACTGGCGTGCTATATAAATCATATATTGCCAGATATTGGCTTCATGTGTAAGTCAACATCCAATTAGAATGGAAAAACACAAAATAGGTTCATTCATACAATCACAATGGCATTTTATAGTTGGTATTTGCTTCATTGTGCAGCTGTGTTCAAGGTTAAAGACTTGTCAATAGTTTTTACACTTTAGTGGAACTCAGTAGCTTCAGTCGCATGGGGAAAATAACTGGACAAGTCTGTGTTTGTCTGAACTTGGAGTGAGAAGATGATGCCAACATTTTTATTTTGGAGTGAAGTTTAATAGTTTTGGTGAAGCATAAAGCTGAGACACACTCTGGTAGCTCCTCTCTCCGCCTGTTATATTGTTGATAACAGAAGTTTGGCCTTGTCTGCATTCACGCTTCCCACAGTGCACCCAGTGCGAGTGTAACGTCTCAGGATCGGACAGCCAGACCTGCGACCTGGAGAGACAAGTGTGTGCCTGCGCCGATCGAACTGGAAAGTGTAACTGCAAGGTACAGTATAAATACACGCTTTTACCTGGTCTTCCCACATGATGTCAAAGAGACTTTATTTTTTCACTTTTCTGTGAATGCACTTCCAGTAGTAGTTTAAATGGGACATATAATGAAAAACTCACTTTTTCTGTGCTTGTTTACATACATTTGGGTATGATGAGTTCTTACAAACTGTGAGCCAGTTCTTTGTGGGCTGCCTCGATCAGAAAATGTGTGATTCAACAAACCATTCAGATTTGGCTCCCCTTCTTATGTCGCATGGAGGCACATTAGAATACAACAATCCTGTGTCCACCGACGGCTTGAGAGCTACCCATTGCAAGGGTGCACAATTTCTTTCTCTCAGGCCAAGAGCAGAGCAGACTGGGCTCTTTTCTTAAAGAGACAGGCGCTAAAACGGAGCGTTTTAGACAGAGAGTGAACACAGGTATATCCAGACAGACAGTGTGAGAAAAATAGTGTGTTTTTTTGAACATTAAAGCCTGTAAACATGTAGATCATCTAGTAGAAACCCAGAATACGTATCAACCTGAAAATAAGAATATGTCCCATTTTAGTTTAATTTACAAAGAAAAAATTTAACACGGAAAAATGTTTGATCGTCAAACTGATAAAAACATGCACATCCTACAACACACAATTAGTTAAATCATGTAAAATATATATAAATATATGTGTTTCAAATTCATCTTTGTGTGAAACTGAGAATCACTAAGATAGACGACTAGTCTTTCCGTTTCATGCACAGGTTTGATTCCCTTGTTGCCCGGAAGGGCCTATGTGGGAATTTTCTTAAAGCCAGTGAACCACTCTTACACGTGATTGAATGAACTCATTCATTTCATGTGATGAAAACTGAGCTTGTGAGATGTAGTCTGTAAGGCTGTCAGTTTACCCATCCAATGACTACTGATATACTGTAGTATATCAACTTAACGTCTGAGTGAATTAATTAGTGAGAAGCTATGAAAACAACTGCTATTTATGGTTTTGAATCCTACTGGGATATGATTTAGATTTTAGAGTTGAGATTGTATACACCAATGCAGATTTAAAACCTACTGGACGTGTTTTTCTTTATCTGTATATATTGAGAGTTTGTGCATGCGTTTGTGTTTTATGCGTGACATGTTTGTCAGCGTGTAATTATTTCAGTAAATGTCTCAGAGCTGAGTAAGACGGGCATCTCTGTGTGGCGTCCTCCATTTGCTGGCACACACAAAATAGATAGATCGATGCATACTTTTTTCTCCTATGTTGGCTAGAAATAAAGTGTGTGTGGATGTCATCTCCTCGCTTCTACCGTGTTCTTGACAGTCATGATGCCAGCACACAGAGTAAGACACTAGTCAACTGAACAAAATAGAAAATGACAAAAAAACATAATTACTGGATTTTTATAGGTGTAAATATCATATATTGACACACACACACCCCTACGTACACACGTACTGTATAAGGCATATATTTCACACGTCATCCTCACTGTGACAGGTTGGTCGTATATCCCAAATGCACGCCTCTCATCAATAGCTTGCTGTCACAGCTTTCAAACACACATACATGCACATATTCAATAAATGGGCACGCCTAGACTGGAGACAACTTTCATCTCTGCTGTCACTTGCTTATCACATTATCCCACATAGACAGCGACAAATACTAAAACAAATTTGTATGTGCAAATACACACACACACGTGCACACTCCTGATTCATGGCCTGTAATGAGGCTTCAGATCATTGGGTGTCATCTTCACTCTGAACAGTTTGACTGCCTGTCACTCAAACAGTCACGCGATCTTCACCTGCCTCTCAGTTCATCAGGTATTTCAGCTGTATGTTAGCTGTCATGCTGATTTCCTTGTCTGTCTGTATTTATTTATGGAAGTCTGTGACATACCTGCATTTCCTTATGGCTTGAGTAGCATCACATATCCCTCAAATTACATGCCAAACACCAAGATGTGGCCCCATTGTTGTAGGTCTCCTTAACATGCAAGTGTCTTATATAATGTCATAACTTGTGTTGAAACATTGATAGACAGAATCGTGTCCTATCTTAACACACACTAATTCTAGCCTCTTAAATGTGAAGGTTGTCTCTATTTAATGACTTAGGTTTTGGACTAATGTCGAGAGACTTTATAAATTGATGATCATTAGTCGCTAGTAATAATATAATGACCTCCTTTTGACATAAATAAGAGTACTAATGTTGTTTTTTTAGGTTGTTCTTGGTCCTTACTCACTAACCTGCAGGATGATTTGACAGAACTCAACATTAATTGGATGATGTTTTGTTGACAGCACTGTGAGACTTTTCTTAGCAGAGAGAGAATCCTTAATATACAGAGCTGTCCACAAGCCCCAATTTCAGACCAGTCAGCCCTCAGCTTATTTACTCAAAATGTAAACAATTCAGTGCAGTGAGATAATAATGCAACCAATGGAAAATGTTTTTTTTCTGCGTTGCATAGGATGGGTGTATATTAATATCTAAAATATGTGACGCAGTCCAAAATTAAGTAGTAGCCAGTTGTTATAATATTGACAATACCACAACCATGTCAATGTGGCAATAAACAGGTGGAGCGGACTTGAGGTCAGAGAGTCACTTTTTCAGCTAGAGGCCAACACGGAAGTGCCAAAAGCTCCACCAACAATCCACCTTTTTGACCATTTTTAGAGTTAGGTTGTGTCGGCACTGCCAAGATGGCGACAGCCGGAGCCACCTACTTTGGGCTTTACAATGGAAACCTGTAGGTGACGTCCATAGTTTATATATTACAGTCTGTGGCTCAGACCTCACTCATACTATGTCCAGCCTAAGTGTCCTGGTGCACACACTGCACCAGGACACTTAGGCTGCAGGTGTGCTTGCAGGTGTGTTTGCCTGAAGCTTAATCTGCTTTCTGACCTCAAGCAGTGAAATAAAGTATTAGATGCTTTCCAAAGTTACATTTGTTTCCCATAACTGGCCCATGTCACTGTATTGTATTATTTTCAGACTGATTTTAGTCCTCATCATCATGTGACTTCCTTTCTCACTAAACCAGGTTTTACTGAAACAATGTTAAAATGTTCCTCAGCTATGTGTGTTTGCCTATTTGTGTTATTTTAGGCAAACGTTGAAGGAGACAACTGTGACCGCTGTAAGCCAGATACATTTGGGTTGTCTGTACGAAACCCGCACGGCTGCAGCAACTGTTACTGTTACGGACTGACACACTCCTGCACAGAGGCGCAAGGACTCATCAGGATGTGGGTGAGTAGACATATTTTAATGTTTGTACTTCTTTTCTGTCACTGTTATTGTTAAACAGAAATAGAGTAATAGAAGAAAGGGATTCAGTGACTCAAAGCAAGACTTTACTGTCTTTATTAAATGTTTCAGAAATCAACAAAAAATAGCCTCACTGACTTCAAATGGCAAATTAAATGATTTGTTAAATCCAACTTGTCCAAACCCTTTTGATAATATATAGAACAATACGTTTAAAGAGTAGTTTCTGGTCTGGATCTCGCTTGTCTCTAATGTGTTATTTGTGAATCTACACACACTGTCTGTCCCAGCTTCCTTGCTGAGACGACACATGTGACAGCTGGCTGCCTACAACTGACTCTGGACTATGCCAAAGCTGTGCGCTTCATGTTCCTCATTAATCATTATGTATGGATAATTAGAGGCTTGTTCAAATACTGAAAGTTTATAGATCTCATTTCACTTGAATTCTGCCCAGTAGAAAGCGTTAGTCAGGTTTTTTGTAGCCTTCCTGGTGGCTGTCAATAGGTGCCATGTTGCAGATATAAAGAAGGTGGGATGATGTTTACAGAGATAAGACAGCTGTGCTGTATTTGGGAGTATTGGAATGTCTATAGCACAATCACAGTTAAGTGCTGGTACTAAACATTATTTAGTCATTCAATCAGGAAAGTGTGTTGGCTATTCTTAGCATCCTCAAAAACCTCTAGAAGGAGCGAGAGACGTGAGTATTTGAGTCAAGAATCTTGTCATTCTCAGAGTCATAACTCAGTCAAATAATGCACAGACACGAAAAGCATATTGATATCATTTCATAGTGTCTTACAAGATATCATTATGTCTCAGATGTCCATTGCAAAATATACATCCACAAATTTTCTTAGAAGTCAGAAAAAAGACTCATTAGACTCACAGACTACATTACATTATAGTTGTCGGTACATCCGTGGGTACATTACAATTAGGAACTGCAATTATATTCAGGACATCAAAAAGAGTTATTTAATTCATCCTTAGGTGGACATGAATGTCTGGATTGCAGCAATCCATCCGATAGTTATTGAGAGGAAAAGTCTCAACAAATCAAACACTTTGGGAACCATGACAGTCTGTACAAAGGCCTGAGCCAATCCATCAATACTGAGATATTTCACTGGACAACTGAAAACCTGCTGTGGGTGCTTGAGGAAACGTCCGGTGACCACCAAATTCAGTGGGCTTCATCCTGCTCCATCCGAGACTGATTTATGCATGTGCCTATGCTGCTGTACATGCTATATGTTGAGCATATGGATACGAGCTGTAAGGGCAGCAGACACCACCAGACTCCAGCCAGCAAGTTAGCAATCAGTTGTTGAGTGGCAGCCTGTTTTTAATAAAGGCCCCTCATCTCAGAAACTGTTGCCATCGGCGATAAACTGTCGTTTCCGTGGTAACCGTAGAGTTTTCTGATGGAGTGTGGCGAGAGGCTTCATTTGAACGACAAATATTCACTTCATTTATTGTTGACAGAGAGAGAGAGGGAGAGAGAGGGGAGGGGAGGGGAGGGGGAGCTGGACAGAGAGAGAAAGAGGAAAAAATGGAAAGTTTATTGGAAAGAGGGAGATTTTCTCTGAACCACTGAATCGTGAGATTACACTGAGTGGAGTGGGACACACACACACATACACACACATACACACACTTGCACTCACACTCTCACCATAGCTAGACACTCATACACTATACAAACACAGTACACATGCCTTCACATACACAAACACACACAAAACTCACACTACAGGGGATTACATGGAGGTAAGGGGAGAGAAACACACACACACACACATTCTGCCATACACAAACAGCCTTTTTTGTGACATATGTCTCTGATGGGAGAACTTTGTGTGTGATTAGACAACTATTCAGTGGTTGTTAAATACTGCTGTAAAGATCTGCACCAATATGATAAAGTACAAATTTTCAAGGAACTGAGATAAGATGAAAGCACTGATAATCTGAGAAAAATCAAGAGGACTCTCCTCTTAAAGAAGAGAGAGGCTTTGACCCCGACAAGTGGCAGCATTTTCTAACTATTATAATTAGTGCTGAGTTGAGAAATAAAGGAAACAATAAAAACAAAGGCTTGCACGTGTTAAATGGCTGCTAATATCTATAAATCAACAACTGTTAGCTGGAGCTCCACACGAAGAAGTAAATGTTAAGTATTCAACACATATGAAATATATGACAAAGTATTCAATCTCCATGTACCTTTCTGAAACACATTAGTCCACACATATGGGGGCTACCCATTATTTTTAACTTATAGATGACGCAGTGTTCATGCTCTATGTCAATGGATCAGGAATTCAATGTTATTACTGATAGCATGCACTAAATACTTAAAGTAAATCTATACAAACTCTGATGTATTAAGTACTGTTGAATAAAAAACAGTATATGAGAGTTATAAGGATCTACTGAATGTGCACGTACAGTATAAGAGAATGTGGATATCAGACACCAGCTACATTGTATACATGTTTGGAATTCAATTCATTTTGAAATGAGTAATTTCCCCTTCCCTGTGTGACTGCCTCTCTATTACGCAGCCGGTATTGCGAGTGTGTCCAAGCTAAAGTAACTTCAGAGATATCACTCAAACAAAGAGAGCTTTTCCATAATGCCACATATATTATTCGCACACTATCAACATATCAGCGCTGCTGGACTGCAGCTGCAGAGAGAGGGAGACATCCAGGCTCCAGCAGATGAATCTATTTTTAAATCGGTCCATTCAACCACATCCCACAGTCAATAATAAACCCTCATATTATTCAAGTAATATCGAAATATCAACACATAAAGTGGGAGACAGAAAGAGAATGAGAAAGAAAGAAAGCTTTCCTCCAAGCTGTCTCTTGCTCTCTGGTACGTGAATCATATTTGAGTTATTACTGATGGAGTGACAACTTCAGTTATATTAAGAATGGAAAGACATTTATATTGGAATATAAAAATCAAGAACTATCCTTCACAGAAAAAAGTTGGCTTGACCCATTATTAGGAAACATTTTTACACAATCAACAAGACTGACTGTGTTATTGACAATACCACTATTGTAAAATACTGGGTTGTGGCCTTATTTTTGAAAGAAACCAAAATTCATGGCAGGAATGTGAAAAAATACATTTTTTTAATGACTTCAATATCTAAAATGTCACATGTGTGGGTTGTACATATAATGCAAAATCATACATTTAACTGTTCAGGTTTAAAGCTGAGGGAGTGAAGAATGCTTATGTAAGACTGTGAAGCCGGTAGCAGGATTGCTACCAAATGCCATCAGATTCAACTGAAGAGTAAAGATCCTTGTCGTTTAAATAACAGATAGCACCTCAGACCCGACCAAAATTCCCATCCCCATTCAAATTCATTTGACTGGGAAATAAAAGTTTTTTGTTTTTGCAAGACATATGGCTAGTATTGGGAAATTACAATACACACATAGTCATGTTGCAATCAAATACGTCCATAAAAAGGTGCCTTCATTTGGCCAGTTATTAGAGCTGCATAGATCCATCCTCATTACTTTGAATATTTCACAATCCTCTGTAACCAGATAGCAGTCTCAAACAAGAAACATTTTAACTCTGCCAAAGTCGAAGAGGATGCAGCATTGTTTGAGGCAGCGTCATTAGGAGATGAGGAAGAGAGGATAGTGTGTGACTGAAAGAGAAAAAGACATTGATGCGTCGGTGCACATGTGACTCATGGACTCATGCACACCTCACTGAAAGGTCTGTGTTATGGTATGCAACATCCATGATTATTAGCCATTTGAGACAATTTAAACTAATTATACTAGCAGAATACAAGTCTTGGGTATCCACCCATATGCTCAGTGCATGTAGTATGTACACTCCATTGAAATGGAAAGGCAGCATGGTATACAGTACGAACAGCTTTCGTGGAATGGTTCCTTGAGGTAAATCTTCCAGCGTCAACATGCGTCACATTCATATTGTCATCACTGTTGTGTGTCCTAGCTGGCGCTGAAACCTGAGCAGACGGTGCTGCCCCTGGTGGATAAATCCAACACTGTGGAGACGAGGAGAGGAGTGAGCTTCCAGCATCCTGAGATCCTCGCTCACACAGAGCTGGTCACCTCAACACTCTCTGAACCCTACTACTGGAAACTGCCGGAGCAGTTCAGAGGCTCTATGGTTGGAAAGCAACACCGTTTTTAATTGTTTTCTACAGCAATCCATAATTCTCTATCAAGATTTTTGCTCAAATGAAGTGTAGTTTTTCAGTTAGGTGAAAATTCAATAGTCACCTTGAATCAATTCTCTACATCTTTCTTCAGATCACAGCATATGGTGGGCAGCTGAAATATGCAGTGTACTACGAGGCCAGAGAGGAAACCGGGCCTTCCTCCTATGAGCCTCAGGTCATCATTAACGGCGGTCCCAACCGCAACATACTGATGACACGCAATGTACCGGGACTCCAGATTGGTCAGCTCACTCGCCACGAGATCGACATGACAGAGGTAGAGTAAGGCTGCGCGTGGAAGTGGGATATTGAAAAGTAATGGAAGAAATATTTGAGCTATCGGTTTTAGGAATAACTTCTTCTATTAAATACCAACTACAACATTAATAGAGCTAAACTGAATATTGATTGCGCTCATTTTTGGCGAGCTCTTGTCGGTCAATACAAACAGGGTCTATTACACTGGTAATAGACTGCAGTGATAAAATTGATTTGTCGGTGTGTTTAATGTGTTTGTGTGTGTGTGTGTGTGTTTGTGTGTGCAGCATGAGTGGAAGTATGCAGATGGCAGATCCATGACTCGAGAGGACTTCATGGATATTTTGTTCTATGTGGACTACATCCTAATTAAGGCATCACACGGCAACTTGATGAGACACAGCCGGTAAAACACACACGCATGCAACGCACACGCGCATGCTGTGGCATGCACCCCCATATAGTGTGCTCCACTATTAAATATGAAATTTGATGGCTGAATATAAAATATAACCTGTGAGAAAACCTCTGTTTTCATTTGTATCTCAAGGTTGAATTTGCCTCTACTATTGGCCATTTGCAAAGCAGAAACATTATAACCTTCTGCAAATCATCCCTATTGTTGTGTCTGAACACTCCTTGACATGATTCATTTCAGAATTTGCAAACGTCCGGACTAACCAGTGCTATTAGAAAGTCCAAAAAAATTAAAAACGTGATTATATTACATTGTTGTATTAATGGATTTGACATGACTTCTCTCTTTTTCAGTATTTCAGAGATCAGTCTAACAGTGGCCGAAGAAGGCAGACCAACCAAAGAGAGCGAGACAGCACATCAGATAGAGAAGTGCGAATGTCCAATCGGATACTCCGGACTTTCTTGTGAGGTGAGCGCACAACTAAACACACGTATATGCACACGTGTTAAGACTTCATACCTGCAAAATGTTAACTTTTCCAAAAGGTGTTCTGCAGGTAGTCGGTTGTTGTAGTAGTCAGCAGGCGTGTAGTTTCATAGCATTTATAAGTGACTGTACTTTCTGTAATTTCTCTTAATAATTTAATTTTGTAGAATTAATACTGTACAAGTGCAGATGTGAATATCTGAGACTACTGCTTTTGACAGAGATGTTACCTTAAAAAGGAATTGTAACCAAGATACGTACTGAGCAGCATATTTTACATTTGAGAAAGTCAGTGCTCTCTAGTGAACAAACAATGTAATGACAACACTGTTTCTAAAAAACAAACATGTCTGTACTGCAATTTCTTATTTGCACCAGTGGACATTTACACCAAAACCAAAGTCTTTGATGAGCTACAATATAGTTATAATTTATTCAAAAATGGTCTCTTAATATGGTGATAGAAACTATGAGACATACAAGGAATTTACTGAATATGTCAATGTCAAGTTTTGTGAATTCACTTCCGGTATTTGTAATAATTTATGTGACGAAATGACTTCCATGCAGCGGCAAAAAGCCCTCTTCATAAAAAAATAAAATGTCTTTGTGTCCTCCTCTCTTAGCGCTCAAAGGATGAAGTACTTTCTGTCTGCTGCCTTCAGTTTGTAAACATGGAGGTCACAGACTGGGCTTTCAATAGTATCTCACAAGTTTCCAATTTACATGTAGTTCAGAGTTTTAAGCATCTCCGACGCCGTTCAGGCTCTGTTTTTTTTTTTTTTCCCTGCTAAGATTAAGCCTCACTGAGCGTCTCTTCCACTCAGTTGTGATTTTGTCAAAGCAATTGACTTTCAACTGCGTCCAGCTCCTTCTCTTAAGCCACAGAAAGCATATAGCGGTGACTCAATCTTCAGTTTAATGAGGATTTTGTAGAGGCAGCTTATGATACACAGAGGCAACAGTTTTGGGCAATTCCGCTGGATGGCGGCGCCTGAGAGTCATTTCGGTATTATTGTGTTAATCTCAAAGGAACACATGAGTTGCCAGCAAACTTTTAACTATATTTTTCAACCCCTGTTTCATTTTGGCGTTTTCTACTTGGAGTGCGGAGGAGGAAAAAAAAAATAGCCATATACATCATTTAGAAGCTACAGATACTGTTGAAAAACTGCCAAATAGCAAGCGGTAGCTAAACTTGAAATGTTCAGGTCGTAGAGGTCTTTGCTGACAGATGGCCATTCTATTTGTAGCTGCCGTCATTGTTAATAAAGTATATTTAAACGGGCGTTTAGCGCTAGCAGAGGGAACAGATGGCTCTTTAAATGGACTCCATTAATTATTACTGAACAGGAGAGAGAGGGAGAAAGAGTTACCTTGTATGTCTGTGTGTGTGTGAGTGTGTTTATATGCATGTGTGTGTGTGTGTGTGTGTGCGCGCTGAGTGGGTATGTGAGGGTGTGGGCATGTGTGTGATCAAAAGTTACTGAAGGGAATATCTCCTAATTGTGTGTATGTGAATGCAAGAGAGAGTGGTCAACAGTTGCCTTGTGAAATTACAATTAGGGATAATTATGTGGGTCCATGTGTATGTTTGTGTGCGTGTACATATCATGCATAGTGTGGGACTACTGTGGGAACACGTGCTGTCAAAACTGTATCTTCAGCTTTAAAAGAGTCTTTAAAACATACATAGATTCCCTCATTATCCCTTTCATTCTCTCTGTCTGTGTGGTCTGTCTCTCTGTGTGCAGGAGTGTGCTGCAGGTTTCTACCGTCTTCGCGCCGGTTCCCTGACATCTGCTTCAGCGTCCAGACTGCCAACCGCTGCCGGCATGGGCAGCTGTGTTCAGTGCCAGTGCAGTGGGCACTCTTCCACCTGTGACCCTGAGACATCCATATGCCAGGTAAGTGTGTGTGTGTGTGTGTGTGTGTGTGTGTGTGTGTGTGTGTGTGTGTTCTGCCACTGGAGACCCTCATAAAGCCATATGCCAGGTAGCTTCTGGAGAAGAGACTGATGTGAGAGAGAGAGAATAAAGTGTGTGTATGTGTGTGTTGGGAGGAATGTCAGGTGCTGTAATTAGCCTGGCATTAATTAACGACCCCCTGCTCATTGATATTTTGTGTAATTTCCTCTCCTCTGGATCTGACCCACAGCTACACCTACAGCTTACTTTTAGAAAGAGGGGAGAACATGATCTTATAAAAACATCTACACCTAAAACACATTGAGGCAAAGAAATCTGACCCTGAAAGTTGAACACAAGATGTATTCAACCGTTAGTTTGACGCTGTCAATGATCAGCACATTCCATCTGTGACAATAATTCCCATAATTGTGTTCCATGTTGATTTTCTAGCTGTTTAGTTAGATCAGATCACATTCCAGGTGCTACATTATAAATTGAAAGCATTAATATAGCATCAAACAAGTATTTGCTGTGTAAAGATATAGTGGAGTAACATAGTGCCCACCCTCCTTCTGTTCCTCCTCAGGTAAACACTGTTAGCTGTCATCACTAATGCCATTGTTCGCACCTTTAAGCGTAGTTTTTGGTTTGTAGCCAAATCAAATTGTTTACATGATATTGAACTTTGTTTCTTTCTAATGCATTTAATACTTAACTTCTTTCCTTACGGAAGTAGTCCATGAATATGATATATGAGTTTACATTTAACCACAATTCCTCCTTGGCATTGTCGAGGTTGGTTTAAGTCTGTTCTGCCGGTTCCACTCGTCTTCTTGCTTCTTCACAGTACATTGTGCACACCCTCTGGCACTTTGAAGAATAATACCACAAAAGCACATCGATATAAATGCCTTTGTGCATGCTCGGAGCTTGCGCGCCATCTGCGGAGCCTCGCGCTGAGGTGCAAAGCGCAAGTATATGTAGTATGAGAACCGTGTGGAGGCAATCCCTCAATCAAAGTAATGCTCTGAATTTGGAATTTAGCACCTTTAAATCGTTATTCATTTATTTAGTGCAAGGAAATAAAATGCCAATCTTGTAAAAGAGAACCACCTTCGTGTTTGTTTTAATTGATATTCTGAACCTTCTCCATTCTGAATATGGTGAATATGCGAGAACATGAGAATCTCTGAACAGGATAGAAGAAGAAAGTGCTGAGCAAGCGACTGCATACCTAAACGTATATATTATATCTTTGTATTTTACAGAACCATTTTCATTAAATGTGTAGCACCAGATTGAGCCTGTATGACGTCATTCTGTGCACCGCTACACCTGCATGTATTTTGTAAATCAAACTGGTGGCTTGTGAGCCAAATCTGCACATGTCAGTTGTTAGCTGTTAGCCACTTTCAGCCTTTTCACAATCTGGTCAGTTTTGTACTGAGTCGCCATCTGAAGACTTTGACCTCGGGGGAGCAGTTGGTCACATGCTGCCCACAGGTCGTCGCTGAGATTTGATCTGTAGAAACCCTGGCAGACTTAGAGAATGTCACTGTTTTGCTATGATTCTACATCCATAGAGAAAACTGTTCAAAATCCCTAAATTGAGATTCATTTTGGACAGTTTATGAGAAGCCATTTGATAATGTGGCTTGAATAACCAGTCAGATAAATAGGTAGACGCACTTGTCAACAAACGCAGAACGATGCTGGCAGCTGCGGTTTCATTGCCTTCTTTGCGCATAAAGTTTAGTATTTTTCTGGAAGACTTGAAATATGCCATGTAGTTCAAGTGGCTCACCTTCTATCATTTAACAATTGCAGCACTGTTACAATTTTTCATTTTTGGAAAGCAGAGTTGTATACACTGCCCTGCATGAAATTCAGCTCAATTATTTGTCAAAAGGTTGGGAGTGCTGGATTTGGTGTTTGGTCATGACAAAGTGTGACTCTCTGATTACTGAGCATATCAACAAGACAACTAAAAGGATCAGCAATTATGTGAAGTGTTTTTGCGTTTAGTCTTCACTCTGTCACCAGCCTAATGGAACATTTTATTCAACTAATAGTATTAAAAAAATAGTTCAGTCATTAAAAAAAACCATGACTGACGTAAACAGCTTGAATGTCATTGCGTTTAAAGGTATGGATTAAAAACATGTTCCATAAGATCATCTGTATGATAGACTCAACGCAGTCACGAAAGACAAATGCCGGCTGTTTCTCAACACACCAGAGAACAGTCGTGCTCCAATATGGATGCCAACATGTTCTTGTTTCCCCTCCGCTGTTCTCTCCTTTCTAATTATTTTCATTATTATTGTCTTTTCTACTTTTCTGCTACCTCCTCTCGTCTTTGATCCGCTCTCCTCCCTCCTACTTCTTTTTATTGTTTCTCCCTTCGTCTACTCCTCCTCCTTCTAATTTCCTTGTTTCTTTTATCTTCCCCATTCTCATCCCCTAAATTCTCTTCCCTTTCATTCTCAATTATGTATTTACTCATCCTTTGTCTCCTTTCATCACCCGCCACTCTGTCTTTCAACCTCTCTCATTTTTCCTTTCCCCAGTCTTCCTTTGCACCCCCCGCCTTCTCTTTCTTTCTCACCTCTCCGTAATGTTTCTAGTTTTGCCAATTTGTTTCTCCCCCGTTTTACTTCTCCCCTCGCTCTACTTCTCCCCTCGCTCTTCCCTTGTGTTTGATTCCTGCTTCTCTCTGCCTCCCAGCCATTTTGTCCTCGCCCATTTCCATCTCGCTCCACATAACAGGCGTCATTAGCATTTTCTAACCGAGCGGGCTAAATTGAAAATGCTAAACGAGTTTGTTTCTGTGGTAATTAGTGGTAACGAGGAACACAGGAAGTTAATGGAAACGACTTGCCTCGTTAGAAGGCGACTTCCTGTTGCACTGATTGAAGTTCCCATTTCAACAAACAAGGCGAACACATAAGACTGAACCCTGGGGATATGAAGAGAGAGCTGTGTGAGCTGTGTAATGTATTTGTGTGAGTTTACATCGTGTGTGCGTGCGTGTGTTTGTATGATTGAATGCACAGTCGAGTGTGTGGATGTGTGTTAGTTGGCTGTGGCATTTGTGTGTGTGTGTGTCTTTGTGTATGCAGGTTGTACATATTATGAAAATGTTCTGTATATTTATATAAATACTGTATTTTGGCATAGTATCCGTCAAAGCTCAAATATTGTGAAATGAGCATAGCCACAAATAAGCTGAAAATAAACACAAACATCTCTGGATATGAAACATTTTGGATATATTTATGGTTGTGTGTGTCATTGCACCCTTGTGGCCATCCTCATAACAACAGGTGAGTGAAATCCTGCAAAGTAAATGAGTATTTCGGATGGCCTGCTCTTATGGAACGAAGCTTAATGAACTCTCTTGACGTGCGAGATCGCACCTGTGAGTTAACAGCTAGCTGGCCGCTGCTGTACACGCTCTCACATCATGCAGGAGTGGACTGGGCCTCAAAACCATTTATTAATGTGTGTGGCCGGCTATGCTTCCTATCAGAAATAGTCCAGGCTAGATATGTGTGTGTGTGTGTGTGAGAAGGTCCTACAATGGCTCAGAAAAGAAAAGAGTAATGACTTCCCTGCTGCTCCGGTAGAGATGCTCTGCGAAAGCAGCTGCGATCACACCGGGACTTCCCACTGACTGTCTGGATGTGTGAATCTCAATCAATGTTTGTCCTGGAAAAAAAAATCACCTGATGGTTGTTTTGTCTCGGTAGGAAAAAAAGTAATCTGAGAGGATAGGCAGCTCCTGACTTTGAAGAAATTACCTGTCATCATGTTGTCAAACATTTTACTAATCCTCTCTAAGTTCACCACCTTACAGCGAAGTAAACCATTCATTAAAAGTGCTAATATCCAGAATTGTGAAGAGAACTGACAGCGAGTAATGATATCAGTGTGCCACTGCTTTTATGCTCATCATCTCGTCTTTGTGTAAATCAACCCGTGGTGCCGGGATAATTATCTCACTCGCTAAAAAGAAAAGCCTCCTCAACACCACTTTGTCAGTGATCAAGGAGGGGATGATGGGTGACCCCTTCTGTCGTCTTTTCAGTTGCTTATTGTCGACTTCAGATAAGTAGACGCATACAAGGGATTGTGCACAGCTTAAGAGTTACAGAAATTTCCTCCGATCATTTTTTTCTTTTCTTGCTCAAACAAATCTGCTGTCTTGTTTTTATTGTGCCAGCGGCAATATTCAAATACAACATGCAGATAACAGTGTAGCTTAACTGCTGCTCATTTGATCTGGAAATGAGTTCGCTTTTTTGAAGATGAAAGAGTTTTCTGTAATTGTGTTACAGCTGCCTATATAAAGTTCACACAATCAAATTCTGCTTTTAAAACCAACCACAAGGGGGGATGGATGAATGTCTTCATGAAGATAACATTCATTTCATTTGTGTGTATGTGTAGAAATGTCAAGACAACACAGAGGGTGATCGGTGTGAACGCTGCGCTCCGGGATTCTACGGTGTGGTCCGAGGTTTCCACGATGACTGTAAACCGTGCGCCTGTCCCCTCACCAAGTAAACTTTTATTGATCTCGTTTTTTTTGGCAGAGGGACTCCCGAAATTGAAATGATCATGTATCAATCATGTATCATGTTGTCATATCTCCATGTCATTCTCTAAAATGTATTTCTCAGCATTTTTAACATGTAGACTGTAAAAGCATGAAGACATTTATTATATGTTCAGTGGAAGTATTTTCATGTGTTTTCTGTGGAAACTCTATCTGCCCGTGTCTAGTTTCAGTGCAGCCTGTGTAACGGAGGGATATGATGACTACCGATGTACAGCCTGTCCTGAGGGATACGAGGGCAAACACTGTGAGAGGTGAGCCACACACAGACAATCATAATCCTCCTCTAATCATTTCAAACAAGATAAGCTGAGAAATCATACATTTTTTATACGGGACATGGCAATGAATCACTTGCACAAGACATTGGGACAAATATATTGACAATGACAAAACTGAGGTGCTTTTGGAATTGTGTAATGCAAGGTGATGTAGGTAGTGTGCTAAACATTTGATGGGGTCTGGGGTGTGTGTGTGTGTGTGTGTGTGTGTGTCTGTGTGTGTACATTGTACAAGTGTGAGGTGCTGCTAAAAAAAAACAAAAACACACGTCCTGTCTTTATATGTTCAGACACACATGTGAACCTTTAGATTTACACCGATTGTCGTTAACTCTGTCCTTCTTCCCACAATGCACCTGTCCAGGTGTGCTACTGGTTACCATGGTAACCCGCAGATGCCAGGCGGCCGCTGCGAGGAGTGTAAGTGTTCCTTATGGGGGGCGCTGCCTGGACCGTGTGACCCTGTCACAGGCCAATGCCGTTGCCGGGTCGGGGCATCGGGGAAGTCGTGTGACCAGTGCATGGACAGGCATGTGTGTGGACCAGCTGGGATCATCTGTAAGACTAACACACAGCTTCTTATTTAATCCATTGTTGGTGTTCCTTCTTGTTTGTTGGCCTTATCTTCATATCTGCAGGTTGAAGTATTCGGTGTATATTAAAGGACCAGTGTGCAGGATTTAGTGGCATCTAGCGATGAAGTTGCAGATTGCAAAAAAACTGAATTCCCAGACCCTCATGAAACAACTGGTGCCGGTTTTACTGGTCACGTGGTCTGAATTATGAAGCATGAATAATACCAATCGAATCGAAAATGAGTAGAAACTGAAATCGTAAAGGCCTCTTTGACAAGTCTTCAACAACAGAAGCGACAAAAAAAGCAGCCCAGAACTTACCTTTAGCAGATGATCACAAAAAGAGCACATTAGGGAAGTTTGAAAGTGTCTTTAGATTACTGAAACTACAGACATTAACTTTCTATTTCCTTCAATTATATTATTATATATATATATTATATCTCTAGTGGCCCACCACCCTGCATTGTTGTGAGTTTTGCTCTATTTCGGCGATGAAGTGCAAATGAGCAGTCAAAGCCCTTTTCTCCGGTTGACATGGTTAGATGGGGTCGTCGCAGAAGTCAGATTCAAGTCATTTAGAAAATAATTTCAATGTCATTTGGAGCTAATTTAAACTCAATATGACCATAATGGCAGGGCCAATTCGGTGCCATTAGCATGCCTTGAGCTCGGAGAATATAGAATAAAAGGTTGTAAGACAGAGCCCGCTCTGACATTGCTGCTGTCTGGACAGAAAGGGAAATTGCTCGCTCAGGTCTTTATGTGTACAGACACAAGGCGTGTGCTCATAAATTGGCAGTGCAAGAGCTGCAGTGCACCCTGATACCAAACCGGTCGCCTCCACATCCAGAATGGAATCACACGTCCTGATGGTTTACGCTAAGTGGAGCGATCAGACTGCTGTTCACTTGTTGAAGAGTGATTGCACTCTACGTTTTGCCTCCGCTTTGCCCTTTCTCCAAGCACTTTGGGAGTCGGCAGTCTTGAATGAGGGACATGCAGGTATCTTCAATTAGTTATTTCAGGGTGAAACATTCACTAAGTATTGTGACCTAAGCTACTAGTCAAATACATTTTCTAATGAAAAAAAAGAAAAACAACCATATGCCGTTTGTACATGATGCATCCACCCATTTCTTGAGCACACTAAGATGTAAAACCTAAATTTAAATTCAACCATGATGTGTTGCCATCTGATCTTGACATGTGCTGTATTTGATATCTACACCGTGTCTAAATATGATTTAACTAAACTACATTGTTTACATTTCCAACTTAAAGATGTATCTTCCCGCTGTCAAAATGAGTATACAGAAACATAGTGTCGAAAACACGACCTGGACAAACTCACACTAGCCATGATGCAAGGTAAGTTGGTGCACAATAACAATCATGATACCAAAAGCAAACTGCAGAAAACAAAGTACGAGAGATGCCCTATACCTGAAGCAAACTATTTTCTAGATACAAAGATTAAACCAAAGGTTCAAGAGCTGTAAGTTACTGTCTAAGGAACACAGGCACAGCTGGGTATTTGTGCACTCGTATGTTGTGCATGTTTGTATTTCCAGTGTGAAGCATGAGTATAATAAACTAAGATAAGATGTACTTTATTGTCCCCCAGGGAAATTTGTCTTGGGCTCCGAGCCGCTGCATCACACAACACACTTGCCAGCATCACAATCCACATGCACGCATAGAACATAGATCATACATACACTCATGCATAAACTTAAATACACATGTTGACAATAGTTAAGAATAATAAAACCAGCTGTGATCAACATTAGTCCCCAATAAAATCATATATAATACTACTTGTTCCGATTTAATAATTTGATGGAGGGTGGAATACTCTAAGCGTAAAATAATCCTTTACATGGGGTTTACTTTCGCCTTTTTGTGGGGCTTCTAGCTTCTATGGTTGTGATAATAAATCATTCTATTCTGTACATTTTATATACTGTGAAGTAAAAATGTGGTGAGGTGCATCATTGGACAGAAAAATGTACATTACGGTGGCATGAACAGCTCTTCAGCTTAATCCTTTACAGCTCTCAGCCCACGAGTCGAGTGACTTTGTCTTGTGTGAGAGTTCTGTGGCTCCCAGTTCAAAACTCACATCCTTGAGGTGAAAAAATTAAGTCTCACAGTAAGTCGACCATTTTTGTGTTTTCCTCTCAACTTCTTATAGAGGAAGAACTCGGCTATCCGTTTTGAAGAAATTTAAATCTGAAGGATTTTCATTTAAATATATTTCTGTTAAATCACCATCTATTGCCGAATGAGCAATCATAGATTGAGCCTATGACCCACTGATGAAAGCCCTTCTATTTGCAGTATTACAAACTGGGTGTATGTGCCGACATTCATAAGTCATAAGCAGGTCTCTCTAAGAAGTGAGATCCAAAAACACACCTGCAATTATGGCTTCACGCCAGAGGTTCTGCAAAAAAGAATGAAACAAAGATCCTCCAGATATTCACTTTAATTTTGACTAAGTAGATTGTTTAGCCATAGTTTGCCTTGACAGTAACGCCATTTAGTTGGTCAATCATCCTACATTATGTTGCCTAAAGCTAACCCCAACTTTAAGGATATGTTTTCTAGTATGATGTATTTGTGCCATTAAAGGGCTTTTGGTGACATTAGGATGACTTCAACAAAGTACAGTAAACTTGTTGAGCGTAAGACGACAACGCAGTTGAATTATCTCAACAAAGACTAAGTAATTCTCCAAGCAAACTTTAAGGTAGCCAAACGCACACCATATTTTGTGAACTCCTCAGAAGAGGAGTAAGAAAGAAGCTAATCTGGTAGAGACATTGCAGAGACAGGCAACCAACCAGCGCCACAGAGAAATTCTTGAATGGCTTGGATTCGACAAGTGGCTATTTACTCCCACACACAATGTATTGTACATTTACTGTACCTGTGTGTGCGTGTGTATGCATGTGACTGCATGAATGCATTGGTGTAGTTGTGTGTTGTTTGTTTTGTCAGAGATTGATTGAGTAAAAACTGTTTTTATTTTATTTAATTCATCTTTGATTTCCCTTGTCAGAAATTTTAATTTCTGCAATAAATCAGCCTCGGGCTACAGAGGAGAAGAGAAATTCACACACGCATTATAAAGAGAAATGTGTACGCTCCCATTCGAGCGAATCCCCTGGTGTGTTTGTGCTGTGTAGTTTGTGTTTTTAGCCTGCAGTGTGTGCTCATAATAGGTGCTTTTGCCTCTCTGTGCTGAATTTCATGCACTGGCAGCCCTGTCTTTCTGATGCCAGAGTCGCTTAAACGCAAAAACACAAGCAGTCACTACGATCATGTATTTACAGGCAGCGAAACACACTCGGTAGCAAAAACACACATACGTTTTCTTTCCTTTTCAAACTGCAGAAGTATCAACATGTGCACTCCAAAACCAATCACAGCGTCTGTAAACCACTAATAGATTTAGTTGGCCTCATTGCACCTAAATGTGTCTAACTGTGTGTTTTATATTTGTTTCTCTAGCCTGTGATGACGAGTGCTCGGGTCTGTTGATCAGTGATATGGACCGCCTGTATCGCATCATCACTGATGTCACCCTGACCACGCCCCTCCCACCACCGTATAAAATGTTGTACCGCTTCGAGAACATGACCGAGGAACTCAAGGTAAAATATGTCTCTACCTGGCTGCAAACGAAATTTTCCATCATTATGTCCAATGATGAACTCATGTCTTTAATTTATCTTTGGCTTAACCCCACTCATATTAGTTGCTGATGATACAGCCGTCAAGTTTTAATTTGTTGGTCAGCTGACAGTTTACAATGTAAACAGTGCCAGGTTCACCAATCCAAATTCTGACAGTTGTTTTTGAAACTAATTCCTCCATGTGCGAGAGTAGAAGACACAATGAGGCTTCTTATTCATAACCTGCGACCGGCGATTTTGCCGGCTAAATTGACAAGTAGCTGGCAGATTAACGTTATATTAACTGTAGTTAGCTAGCTTCCTAATTAAGCGAACCGTAGTTTCATCTGTTGGTTGGAAACACTGTCACTGGCTGACTTTTTATTGTTCCCAGCTGACTTGTTTCAAACAACCTGTAAATAAGAAGTGAAAGTCACTTTGACTCCATGAAATGAAATGACTTGGTTTGTGCATTACGGGTTTGAAGCCTCGAGCGTGATGATGCCTTTCACCATGTTTCCAACAAATTGTGAAAATAACTTTTGAGCTGTGGTTGCATTACCATTGAATATCTTTGTTCTCACTATCACTATAACTAGATCCCTAGAACTGTGTTACTATCATGTTTACTGTGAGATAATTCAAATGCATTGAGATATGTTAGATATGTTCTCTATTACATTTTGCCTCCTGCCCTCCCTTGCTCATCCTCTTCTTTTCGGCTCTACAGCACAGAGCCAGTTCAAAAGCCTAGCCGTGGGCCAAAATGTGCCAGACATTCTCTATAATTCCTTCATCCCTCTGTTTCTCTCCTGCAGCACATGCTGTCACCTCAGAAAGCTCCGGAGAGATTACTGCAACTGGCCGACTCCAACCTTGGATCACTGGTTGTTGAGATGGACCAACTACACAGCAGGGTACGGACACTTTTGTTTTTTCTTTTGGCTCGACTTAAGTCGCTGTCATTGACTGTCTTCCTTTCTCTCTTTGTCTGTCTTGCGCCCCTTCTCTGGCTCTCTCTAAAATAACGAGATGCAGCAAATGAAGACTGGGGAGTCAGATCATAGTTAAGAGCAGCAATAATGTACAAAGAACAGCAAAGACACGTGTCTTGTCACTTCTACAACAAGCTGGGCATTAGAGACGACACAAAAAACAGACTAACCAGTAGCCGGCTGCATCGACATAAAAGCAGTACAAATGCAACCACTTTTCTACCATGTTGATGAAGTGCCAATAGGACTGTTAGAAGAAAGAAACCCTTTTTATTGTCAAATACATATACATGAAATTTGACCTCTGCATTTAACCCATCCCTGTATATAGGGAGCAGTGGGCTGCCAATGACAGGCGCCCGGGGAGCCGGGGGTTCAGTGTCTTGCTCAGTGACACTTCGACACATGGCACGTCCCAGTCGAGGATTGAACTGTTGACCCTGCGGTTGCCAGACAACCCTCTTAAGCCAGTGAGCCTTAGTTAACCACCTGGGCAATGGAGAAATAATGACACAATGGAACCCTGGGCACTATACCTGGATTAACCAGCCACGGGCCCCGGAGTAGAAATAAGAGCGTGGGTCCCCATTAACTCCTGCAATACAAAACAGGAACCCACTTGCAAGGGCCCTTATTGTGACAATGTATATCATACTTCAACAGTGTATATTACAAAGCGAGTTTTCAATTAAATGAGCACAAACAAAATAAAGTTGAACCTTTCAGGTTCCCTGGGTAGATATGAATAGCAACAGAATATGAAAGCATTTGGATCTGGATCAGGATTGGGATTATAAATCGTGATAAGGTCATCCCTAGTAATGACTGAGGCTCATGAATTTCCAAATGTTAATGAGTCAGAGGCTCTTAGGGGTCCCTTCGGCCAAGGATCCTGTGCCTGGTAGTCTAATTCGGAAATTCGTGCATGCTTAAAAGTATTTCAGGAACTTTAATGTTTTTGCATCAAACATATTCACTCAAAAGCATTCTGAGTTTTTCCTCTTCGCCCTCGTACAGAATACAAGAATCTAAACAAACTTTTTGTTTTTTACTTTACAATCTTTAGAGTCACAGTTATGTCTCTAAGAGGAGTTAAACCGAATAGAAAAAACATCTTGAGCTGAGGGGGTCTACAAGTGCCAAGCGGAGAAAAAGAACACTCTCATTCAGGCTGTCAAGCTACACCCTTTTAGGGACTGGGGCCTTGGCATTTGTTGACAGCGATGCTATCATCCACACCCCATCACACACATTCTCGCTCACACACACACACACACACACACACACACACACACACCAACGAAAATGATATAGCAAAGCCTTGTCAAATAACAACAATAATTACCTGCTCTTTCTTTCTGTACGTGTGTGTGTGCGAGTATCTTAGGATGTGTTTTCATGTCTGTCTCTCATTCTCCTGTTGTGTCAGTGGGGGGAGTGTACATTTAGACAAGAAAAATAGAGGGTAAACAGACTGAACTTCTCTCTCTCTCTCTCTCTCTCACACAAACACACACAAACTGAATACTATTGATTGTGCGTGTGTATTGTGTGTATGTCTTGCCATCATCCTTTGTCATTCTTTTACATCTTCCTCTGACTTTTCCCTCATTTCGTTCAACAGAAGTCAATATGTTCACTTATTCAACACTTGTTTATTACTATTTAATATTGTGTGTGTGTGTGTGTGTGTGTGTAGTCCACTAAGGTATCTGCTGACGGAGAGCAGGTTGAGGATGATGCTGACAGGATTCATAAACGAGCTGAGGACCTGGAGCAGTTCATCAGGGACACACTGCTGGGAGCTCAAGGTAGCAGAAACGAACACTCTCCTCCACTAACTGACTCCATACCCTGCCAACTGGGATTTCTGGATGTATCTGTACATTTCATTATATTACATTGTATGAAATGCAAGGGATCCATGTGGGCCATCTAGGTTATTATATTAGAAGGGAATGGGACATAGATAAGAATAAGTAAAGATGAACAAAATAAGCTCATGAAGTGCATCATTTAAAATCAACAAAAGCAAAGACCTTTATTTTATTAATTCCCACACTTTGAAGGAGAGGTTCCACATCAAAATGGTGTTTGCACATTTGTCGCTATTTACACATAAAGTTCATTATGCTTTTTTGTTTTTTTGCCACATACCACAAACATTAGATGTCCATCCACAGCTTCAGGTTTTAATGCTGCCCTACAGCCAGATGCTGCAGTATGTTCCCACTGGTGTAAAACATTGTCTAACCGGCAGCACTTTGTGGTATAGATGGTTCACTTTGGCAGAGGTGGCTTAATACCGACATCTTGTCTTGCTCTCTCTCTCTCTCTCTCTGCATGTGTGACTAGCAGTTAGTTGTTCACTTCAGCCTCGGTATGTTTTTGTCAGTGCAGCTGGAGCATCTCCGCACTCAGCCCCTGCATCAATGGCTGTGTGACCAGCTCGTTGATGTGGTTTTCTCCTGCGACATTAAAGTCACAGCCCTTTAACATACGCTCCACTGGATATGTGTCTCTGAAGTCTAAAGGGGTTTCAGTGCTTTCTGCAGCCATTCCAGGCCATCAGTGTCTTTCCATGTGGGAACTAATATCCTGTCAGTGGACAAGAGTTGTGCAAACCTTCTGTTCAAGCCGTCTTTTCACCATCTTCAGCCAGGAGTGCCACCCTGTAGGGCACTCTGACCGTTTGTGTTGGGGTTGGTCGAGCTCTTCTTTAGTTGCTGCCAAGGCTTGACACATGAAAGAAAACAGGTCTTTCTTTTGCACAGCCCCAGCTCGTCCTTCTACCCTCTTCTCTGTGTTCCACATCAGTCTTCAGATAACATTTTTCAATCAAATGTTAAAAAAGAAGTTAAAATAGTGGTGTGTCGTGAACGACAATGTTTTAATAAACCAGTTTATCCAGTTGAGCCTGATTGAGTTTGTAGTTGCATCCAGTTACTCTCATCTCTAAAAGTTAATTTGCTCCCTTTGTATGATCCGTTGCAAGAGTACCTGTCATGCAGTGTGTCCTCTATATTTACTCAGCCTTTCAATATGTGCTCCTTTCAGACTGTCAGGACTAAAAGAATCTTTGTATGTTGGTGGAAATAGTTGTTATGTATGAGGAATCTTTGTAAGTTGCAATAATCTCAAGGTCTTTTTCCAATTTAAAATCACTTAACCCTGGAACTCTCTAGTCGAGTCCTGCTTGAATTTTTGCAGGTATGAATTTACTTTTAAGTAGCTCGCCCTACCCTCACTAAAGAAAAAGTGCTCTATGTAAAACTCTGTAGTTCAAATAATTAGTTATTTTCATAGCCTTTATGAATTTTTTATGGCTTGGGATGAAAAGAAAGTTACCAAACCAACGCATTCTGACTGACTGTGATGAAACTGTCCTCTCCTTGTTGTTGCTCCGAGCTCTCTGGCCTTCTGCCTAATCACAGTGTGATTAAAAGGTGTGTGTGTGTGTGTGTGTGTGTGTGTGTGTGTGTGTGTGTGTGTGTGTGTGTGTGTGTGTGTGTGCGCGCGCACCTGAGAGAGGGAGAGAGAGGAAAAGAGAGTGTGTTGTTGCTGACTGGATGATTGAGAGTAGCAATTAGAGACTTAATTATTGGCTATCACAAACACACACACAAGCTCACTACATATACAAACACCAATGAAGCTGTGCACACATTCATGCAACTGTGCACACACACAGACAGACACACAACGAGGCAAGAAAATACTGTACTTTCCTCTGTGTGTGTGTGCCCATGTTTACTAGATGCCATAATATGATTCCATCCACGTTTTAAGTGTTTAATTGGCTTTTAAATCCTACTATGTAATTATATAGCTGTGACAGAAACACACACACTCAGACTCCCAGACGCCCATACACACACGTACACATACAAATGCAGCGTGCGCACACATGCAGTCCAGATGTTCATTAGCATGATGGCTTTAGTTCGGTCTTGGCTCTAATCACATCATGTTTACATTTCAAATGATGGGAATTTCTGCATTGCCACAACCACAGATGTACACACAACGGCCCACACACACAAGCGTGCACACACTTCACAGATTCGACTTGCTTTAATCATATCACGTTTACATTTCAAATGAGAGAGTAACACACCATCACTGCAGACACAAACATGCAAACATCTTGCTGCATACACACAGTTGCATACACACAACACACCTCTTTACTCTCCTCTGTTCAACCAAACACACACACACACTCCTCATTAAGTTCCGACAGTTTTATTCAAATGAGCCTTGGAGTGTTTTAGTGCAGTTTCATCATTGATTGGTTTGAGATTTCACTGCCTTTAATTTGATAAAAGCAGGGCAAACATGAGGTCTTGTCAAAATTTCTGGCTTTAAATGGTGTTAAAACACTTTGTGCGAGTGCGTGATTGTGTGTGTGTCTGACTCTCGGCGTGTGTCTGTGTTTAAATGAGTGAAGATCAAATGGTGTGATTTTTTCCATTTGAGCCATAAAGCTCCAACATGACAGCAGAGATTCCATCAGAGCTGCATGTCTGTGCACTGTTTATATATCTTTGTACAACATTAATGTCTCTCTCTACATACTGCATATTTCTATGTGTACAGATGATTTCTTTCAGTCAACAGTAATGTTCGTTTTACAAGACAAGCTTGTACCTGTAGATAAATGCATACAGTACAGCTTCTTTGAGAAACTAGCATGGCTGTAGACTCTTAGGTTTTGTTATATTATCAATTAATGAAATCACTTTTTTGTGCCCACAGAAAATGATCACCCAACTCTGCAGCTCTACACAGCTTTTCAGGCTCTTTAGCACATCATTGTAGTTCTTGTTCTTCTCCTAGACGTTTATTGTATGGTACACATCTCTAAGACCCATTGCAAACACACACTAAAACAATGTATAAGCGCTGTAAAAAGTATATAATAATAAAGTATAATAATTCATTCATGGATTAACCAACTAAGGTGGCAATAAAAAAATTTTTTTTTAAAAATAAGTAATTATTTTTACTTTTAAATATTAACTTATTTACAGACTGTGTGGGCTAAAATGCACAAGAAGGGTAGGCAAACTCATTGAAACATGCACTAATTAAGATTAGTATGTATGATGTAATAGTGGCATTAGAATTAGCTAGAGGCCGCCAAATTTGGGCTGTTAGGTAAGTGATCTTCTGTCGGGCCTACATTGGACATTGTTCTTTTTACACTTAGCTAATACAGTATACAGCAGGATAACTATATAGCAGATAAAAGTAGTTATACAAGCAGAATATTAAATCATCAAGGTCGATCATGGTTCTTCTGGTAAAGTAATGCTACAATGGAAAAGGCATAATACTAATTGGTAGGTGTCTTTAAAGTCCGTAAACAGCAACTGACCACAACAAATTAAAGTGGAGGGACAGCCACCATCTAAGAGAAATCACAGACTATTCCTTTAAATGTGAATTCAAATGGTCAACGTACTCCTCAAAACTATATATTAAATGGTCAAATGTTACTATAACGTGCTTGCTCACAGCATTCTTCATGTGTGTCTATGTGTCCAGACCTCCAGTCGAAGGCTGCCACCTTGAACCAGACTCTCTCGAGGAGAGATGGAACTCCAGAAAAAAGCCTGAAGGAGATGAAGGAGGAGATCCAGGCCATACTCGCCGAGATGAGAAAACGACAGCTGGGAGGGAAGAAGAGCATCGCCGAGGAAGAGATGGAGTATGGACACACTCACTCACTCTCTCTCACCCACACACACACACGCACAACACACACACACAGATCATGTATCTTTCTCCCACACACGAGAAAAAGAAAGATTCTGAAAAACTTTGCAAGAACAGACTGTCTTTGCGCACACACTTTTCTGAGCATGCACACATGCATGATAGCCGGCAGATAGGTGTAAATTTCTTGACGAAGAGAGTGAAAATATGCCGAGAATACTAGTGTCTGGTGACAGGAAATTACTGAGCATCTTTACTATTGAGCACTTTCTTTGCTGTCAATTTTTTTTCAGCTGTTTAGTATTTTTCTATTTTATTATTTTGTTTTCACTCATACCTGTATGCTAATCATTCACCTTGTGTGTCTTGGATTGCATTTGTCCCTGCTGGGATTCAATCCCACTTTTCCAACTTTTTACTCGCTCTGCAGGGTGTTTCCCCGCTGAATTTTTCTTTCACTGAACTTGCACAATCAGAGACATAGAGAAAGAGGAGAAGACAGAAGTGGAATATGCATACATTTGTCAATATGGAAAAAATTCCGCCTGCATGTAGAAATTCAAACTGTATTTTTAGCTTGCAGCAACAAATATGTTTTTATTATTTTGAGAGCATACCAGGAATACAAACGAACAAGAAAAAAAAACACAAACGGACACAGCACATACCAGGTAATAACAACGGCCACAGTCATTAAATACAAAGCAGTTTTAAAATGTTCAAAAAAGGAATATATTCAGCAATGTGCTCTATATTGGACAAAACACACTCGTCCTGTCACTATATTTCAGTCTCTCCAGTTGTATTGTGACATTTTTCTAAATCCGCTTCTTATTTTTAGATATCTGGATGTATGTTTCCAGTGTTCCATGAACCCAATGGCTTCTGTTAATTGATTTACATTATGAGAATTAGGCAACAAACCTGGATGCCTCAAGTGATGAGGTGAAATTAGTGAAAATGCAGTAACACACAACATTGTTTGCAACATGGTTAGCTGAGAAGGGCCTTTCAATTCCTTTCATTCTTTGATTTCTTTATTCCCTTATATTTGTTGACACAGGAGACATCAGGAGTACACATCTTCCATTGAGCAGTTATTTGATTGCTGCATGTCCCGAAGCCACGACTTTCTGCTGATGTTTTAGCAAAGTGTTTCTCACTGTTTTTGCTGCTTCTCTCTCTCTCTCTCAAGGTACTTGATGGAATTGTTAGTCTACTCTCTTCATCACTCCTTTCTCTCCCCCTCTTTCTGTCCGTCTCTTTCAGCAGTCAATGTTGATTAGGTCGATGAGTTAATTAAAAGTACTGTATCGCCGTAGGGGTAGAGGCAGAGAGAGGAATACAAAGAATGTGTAGTGAGAAGGAAAGTCACAGAGGGAGAGGAGAACAACTGACAGATAGATGGAGATTGTAGTGGGAGAGAATGTGAGAATAAGAGAGACAAAGTGTAATTGGCTCTGCCACTGAAGGACTTATCTGCGGTTGATTATTTGACTGAACTAGTCTGAAAACTTTGTACATGCTGCAAACGTAACTTTTCATTCACATACTGTATAGTTAAATATTTAAATGTTGTAATAGTCAGTTGGATCATAGTTAAACACTCCTCCCATTTGTTTTTACTTCGGGCACACACACTGGGACTCGCATGTGTGCGAGGGCAGACCGACCGCATAAACAAAGCACAGAGAAGCTCGGATTCCAACACACCGAGGTAGACTTAATTTGTCCACTTTGTCTTCACATTGGAAATAGTTGTTTACTATATTTCAGGTGAACACAGCATAGCAAAGCTGTGAATAATTGATGAAATGCCCCTTTAACAAAGCTTGAAGACTGTTTGAAGTTCCTTTTTGTTGTGTTTGTACTCTCTTAATAGTTGAATTGTCAGCACTTGGTTATCTGTTGCTTTAAACTGAGTGGATATAATGCAAAGTTATGTCTTAAGACGTCTTCATCAGACACACACACACACTGAAAAGGTCCATGTTTGCAGTGGTTACGTTTTAGTTCTGCTATAGTGTCGTTCTCTGCTAGTTGTATCACTTTGCTTTCCTTGATATGGCATGCCATGCTGTGGTGAACATTAGCACGTGTTGCTTCAACCGTCCACAAACACATTAGTGTGACAATATTTGAAATGTTTTACACTGCCACGATTTAATCCAACTTAGCCTGAGGGATCAATAGAAGAAAATTAGTAATTTCATTCCAGCATTTCAACATTCGGTCATATGGAGTGATTATTGTCTTCACACTAGCAGAGGCTCTGCCACACATCACAATAACTCTCCTCTTCTTTCCTCTCCTCTCTGAATTGTTAAATGACCAAAATATAAATGTAAATATTCTAATCGCTCCCTTTTTTTCTTCTTCCAGCCTAGCAGAGGAGTTGTATCAGAAAGTGAAGAGATTATTTGGCGACCCCCATCAGGCCACAGAAGACCTAAAAGCAGAGGTAATTATAGCTTCTAATCTTTACTCTTTTGTCTTCGATTTCTCTAAATTAATGACATTAACTTAATGCTTCGCCAGATAAAAGAGAAGCTCTCAGACCACGGGGGGAAGCTGCAGGATGCCCAGGACCTACTCCACTCAGCCCAGGGAAAGACGAGACAGGCTGGCGCACTGGCTGAACAAAACCAAGCTAACCTCACGGCCCTGGAGGTGCAGTTACACACAAACTCCTACACGGTCGGCCAGACACACGTCAACATACACGTTTTTAAATATACAAACACAGTCAGAAAACGCTGTATATTTAATGATATATATATATGCTTGAATGCTTTATCATTTCCATACTCCTGACCATCTTTTGTCAATCATGTGTAGTCTAATTAACTACTATTCAAATGATTCACTGATTCAATTCTGTCATGTTAGATTGTTAGTGTGGCAAGCGAAGGATAAACAGATAAAAGCTTTTTGTGCTAAAGAATGACAGAGACGTTAACTGTTGGATTACTCTCATCTACAGAGTAATCTTCAACTGATTTCTTTAAAGAGAGAAACAACAATTGTCACCAGTTTCTGAGGTGAAGCTAAAAGATAAATGACTTTGTCTATACTCATTCTTATGTCAATATAATCCATGGGAGTTGACTGATTTATGTCACATTAGCTTTTGAAATGAGTACCAATGGTTTAAAAAAAAAAAATCATAAAGAATCATAAAAAGCGGACCATCTAACCATCTATTCAACTCACTACTTATTCTTATTTTCCTTTTAAGCCTTTTGATGGTGATTCATCATCAAGTAAAGCTCACAGGCACAGATTCCTAACAGAGCAAAACATCAAGCCTTTATTGGGATGATTATTGTACATGTCCTAGAGGAAGCGTTATGCAGTACACTCTCTATCTTTCTCGTTCTTTATATCTTGTCTTTGTGTCCCCCTGACCCTGGAGTGTTTTTCTCTGTTAAGAAAAGCTGTATTCACTGAAGAAAGTGGTATATATGCACTCTAAACACCGGGGTTCATACTTTTATTTAATCAAATCATCAACTGTGTGTCCCTCGTGTCCTCTAATTGCTGTTATTAAAGTCAATAACTGTAAATAATTTTTTACCATGTAAAGGGTTTTTTTTAGTCTGTAGAAGAAATAATAATTTCCTTATTCATTATTATGGGAAATTACATTTTAGAATTGTTCAGACTAGACTTCATCAAACTGACCAGAAACACTTTAACACCCACACAGACTCTGAGACAGACTCTTCTGTACTTCTGGTTTGCATCCAAGCATCTATTTATTACGTGTTCAAAACTCAATTAAATTATGTTGTGCAAATAAGCAGACTGGACCACGTAGACAAATAATAATTAAAAATAATCATTGGCTATTTTGAGATGTGTTTCAGTCATTTTCCAGTTTCTCAAGTGTTTTGATTCTCTGCCTTTCTTTGTCTCATGTCATGATAAATTGAAGATCTCACGGTTTTTGGATCGTTGGTCAGACAAACAAACAATTTGGTGGCATCACCTGAAGCTTTAGGACATTGTAATGGGAATTTTTCACAATTACTTGACATATTATAGACCAAACAATCAATTGATGAAATGAAGAATTCATATAATGGGCGTATTAATTGGTAATAATGCCCTAATGTTCATATGTTGGCACATTATTGTCTTGTGCAGCTATTGATCCTGGTTTGTTTTTTGCAGAGAAAGCGCTCTGCGGTGAGCGGGGTGAAACAGGAAGCACAGGAGGTCCTTGGAGAAGGAGAACGTCTTCTGGATGAAGCAAACCAGCTTTCTGACAACATCAACAAGGAGATAGAGGTACTAATGTCCACCGAGTGGAAACCTGTAGAACCCTTGTAACTCTGTAAGTCAGTTGCCTCATTAGTCTGCTGTTGAATAATCTGCCGGAGACCAACTTTGTGTCTTCTGGCATCAGTTCGTAGGAGTAGGAGAATATCTCTCTCAGTTTTGACTTTCTTCTATTCAATAATTGTAATGGCATTAAATACATTACTACCGTACCTAAACTAATTAGCAAAGATATTACCATGGACATGGTAATTTGGCAGCAATAAATGCACAGAAAGTGATTTGAATGTGTCCGTCAACAGGCAAAGTGAGCGGAGCCTCTGTTTTCTGTCCGTAGGACTTGGAGGAGATGGGTAGAGAGCTGGGTCCTCTTCATGACCAGCTGGATGATGAAGTCAGTCACCTCACCAGTGGTTTAAGTGATGGCAGCCTGGCTAATCACGTCCACGACGCAGAGAAGCACGCCAAGCAGCTGAACGAATCTGCTGCTATTTTGGATGGGTAAATTAATTATGGGTAACGTTACCACACTAATGTTCACATCGGTGTAAAGCATAATGGGGCCTAGACTGAAACTATTAGATTAATAATCTGGTAGATTATGGATTTACAGACAAATACTCTTATGATCATTTTGACAATCATCCATTATCTGTAGCCGCTTATCCCACTCAGGGTTGTGGGGGTGCTCGAGCCGACCCCGGCTGACATTGGGCGACATTCACACCTACGGGCAATTTAGAGTCATGAATTAACCTAAACTGTGTTTCTTAGTGCTGTGAGAGAAAGACGGAGAACCTGGAGAAAGCTCACGCTGACACAAAGAGAACATGCAAACTCCACACAGGAGGGCAGGCCAGCCTGGGATTGAACCCCGGCCCCTCTTACTGTGAGGCAACGGTGTTAACCGTAGATATTCCTCCTAAATTTAAGTATCTCTACATTTTTTTGAATGTTACCCTCCTCCGCCCTTGTACGCCGTCATAGGTTACAGTTTCTCAACAAAGATTTGTTGTTCCCTCTTTCATGTCCATGTACTTAATTAATTAGCTTTGGTGCTTTGGACCATTGATCCCCCAAAAAAAAGATTCACTTTGGGCTTCTGTAACGTGCAATGGGCAAAGGACGATTGATTGATTGAGATAAAAATATAATTTTAAAGACAATAACTAAATGATTACAGTTATTATTATTATTGCCTCCCAAGAAGCAAAGGTGTCAATGCTGAACTATTTTTAGAAGTGCAAATCAACTTGACAATCTCTGATTTCAAAAACATACATGAGTTAATACTGGTGTGTCTCAGGAGTTACCTTCATTTAGGTTTTCATTACTTAAAATGTGAATATCAAATTCACAGCTGTTTCTCTCTTTTTGTCCTCTCTGTCTTCACAGTATTTTGGCTGAAGCTAAAAATCTCTCCTTCAACGCAACAGCTGCCTTCAAGGCCTATAGCAACATTAAAGCAAACGTTGATGCAGCAGAGAAGGAGGCGAAGGCAGCCAAACAGAGGGCAAGTGAGGCACTTGCACTGGTAAGTGGACGCGTACGCCAACACACAGAGAAACACGTGCACACACTTTCTTCACACAATTTCTTACTTATATTCAGAAAGCTCATTTCTTCAGGGTTTATTGATACTCCCATTGTTTTCATTATGTCATCAATTCCCTTTCCATGTTTTCCAATACTTTCACCATCAAAAGCTGAACTGTATATGTATATTTAAACTATATGTAATCTACCTCACATTCAGGTACTTCATACGTACTGTCAGTATCAATGCATGCATTCTACGTATCCAGCCTATGAAAGTGTACTCTCAGCACAAGAGGATGGTCTGTTTGTGTTCAGGCTTGTGTGTGTGTGTGTGTGTGTGTGTGTGTGTGTGTGTGTGTGTGTGTGTTGGTGTGTGTCTTGCATGCAGTAACAGTAATGTAAGCTTGGGCTCTCCATTAGTCATGGCTGAGAGATCAAAGCACTTCTCTGTCTCTCTTCTTCCTTCTTTTTCCTTCCCCTCTCCCTCATTCATTATCATGACCACACACACCTAAAATCTCTCCTGTCCTTCCTTTTGCCTTCTTTTATTTCCTAATTTATTCATTTTCTTTTTCCCTGTTCTTGTTTCAAATACTTTTTTTGTTGGTTACATTCCTCGTCTTTGATTTTCTTGTCCCCCTTTATTCTATCATAGTTTATTTTCCTTTTTTTATTATTTTCCTTTGTTCTGTGTGCCAACACTTTACCCTTTTCTTTTCTTCCCATGTTTGCATTTTTTATGCCCTCTGTAAATGGCCGAAAGAGAAAGGGCTAAAAAAGGAGGCAGAAATACAAAGAAAGAAGGGGTTGAAGTTGGAGAATGAATTTAAGTCTGCTGAATGTGTTGTTAGAATAACATTTAGCAATGCAAAGGAGTACTGCTTTGATCCTACAGAAAGGTAGTATACAGATTACTTACCATTTTGTGTGCAAAAACGTGTTTTAAATCATGTGTGGGATCTAAATTATTCTGGAAGCATTTTAGTGAAGGCATGTTAAGTCACAGATTGTGTACTCTCTTTCCCTCTGTGTGTGTGTGTGTGTGTGTGTGTGTGTGTGTGTGTGTAGGCTTCAGATCCAGAGGTCCCAGTGAAGGAAGCAGCTCAAGCTGCCCTTCAGAAGAGCTACAGACTGCTAAACCAAGCTAAACAACTTCAAAATGATGTCAAAGGTGTGTGTGTGTACAATATGTTGCATACAGAACATACTATATATATGTATATTTGTATATTTAACATTGCACGTAATAAAAAAAAAAAAAAGAGTATTAATAGTAATCCCGGACATATCGATACACTATTGTTTAAAAACATATCGCGATAGTAAGCTCTATCGATATTTTTTCACAGCCTTACTGCATAGATAGCTAGTCATTTTGTAAAACATACTGTTAAATTGTATTTACTGTTTGTCTTCCGTACGCAATGTCATCTTGCTAGCATAACATTAGCTTTCCTGCTTATTGCTGAGCCAACGGGTTCTATTAGCTTCATGTACGATCTCCTGTTAAGTCTTATCTAAGGTTCCTTCTATGTACTGGAGTAGTGAACAACGTTTCCATTACATAGGAACTTTATGGGATGGTAGTGACTGTTCCAGCTCTCAGCAAACCCTTAGGAGTTATCAGGGAAACTGAGTGATGGCGTGTAAAAATCTTTTTTTGGTTGGAAAATGCTAAATGGTCCTAATTTTACTTCTTTGGCAAGTGACTCTAGTATAAGCAGGGTATTGCCTCTCGAGGTGTCAATAATCAGGAATGAATGGACTTCACGGAGCCAACCGTCCGACAAGCAGCAGACTCCCCGTCCAACATTAGTTCCTGATAATAGACACCTTGTCGGGCATCCTCCCTTGCGTAGTCTTTAAATGGATTACAGTTCTATCATATTCATAGTGTACACAAGTCTTAAACAGTTTAACTGCTATCAATGTCACTCTTCGTGTGCCTCTATGATTTACTGTCAGTCACTCTTCCCATTAGGGAGCTGAGGGATGTGGTTTTATTAGTAAGCAGCCATGGCTTCAAATCAAACCATCATCATCATTGTGTGTGTGTGTGTGTGTGTGTGTGTGTGTGTGTGTGTGTGTGTGTGTGTGTGTGTGTGTGTGTGTAGAGAATGCAGACGGTGTGGCGGGGCTGAAGGGCAGAGTTAAAGCAGCGAGAGACAAAACCAAAGACCTGCTGAAAGCTGTCAACGGAACCATGGCAACGCTCAACGCGATCCCCAATGGTATGACTGCACAAATACACGGTGTGTGTGTGTGTGTGTGTGTGTGTGTGTGTGTGTGTGTGTGTGTGTGTGTGTGTGCGTAGGAGTGAGATAAAGAGAGAGTGGATCAATATCGCTGTGCCGATAGAGGTCAGTTGCTCTGGTAAACTTGACACATGTCAGTACTCACAGACACACAGAAATACACTGCAGTGATAGTGAGGTTGTTGAGCCACAGCGATGCACATGGTTGCTTTTGGATCAACATGCAGAAAACCTTTAAATGCAGCTACCACCAAGTGTAAAATGAGATGACCCAGGGGTTAACGCAGCTTATTTAATTCTAATTCAAATCCATGTGATCGAGTGAACGCAATACCATTCCATGTCACGGTCAGATGGCTAGAAACTAAATGGTTATCAGTCTGATTTTCACAGGATCTACCAGACCTGGTAACAAATGTCAGCAAGGATTATCTGCTGACGTGATGGGTTAGAGTTTCAATCATAAACACCTTGATCCTCTAGCACACAAAATAAGGTTGGTATTCATGGCTGTAAATCTACAGGACTCTGAAGAACAACCGTGATATGAAGGCGGCAAAGAGTTTACTATCCAAGAAAGACTACATTTTACTGAGATTAAGTGATCTTTATACACTGTACTACAAGTTCCCAATGTCAGCTGTGTTACAGGATTCAGCATGATAGTCTTAGCTATGGTGTTAAACAAATGATAAAAACAACATTGCAAAATTGTCTAGTGTGCGTAGGTTAAATATATAACAAACGAAAACTGAAGATACAGTATATCCCACACTACGTACCAATATAATAAGCATAAACTGTACTGATCTGAATAGTATACTATTTTGACAGTTAATATACAGAAAAATAATGGACAATTGTGGAAATGTAGAAATTATTTTAGTTCTGTGTCAACTAATGGCAATCAAACTGCCACTTTATGTGATTCTCTCTGCCAACAACATGTTTTAAATATTTCCAATTGTGAGTAGCTTTGCTATTTCTGTTGTACATTAGGGCGATAATACGAGTTTGGAGAAATGTTGGACCTGTGACAAAACTTAGATCTGTGTGTGTGAATGTGTGCAATTCCAGTTCAAAATGGTTTAGAATTACAGTCGGATTATACTACTGCGTTTGAGCCACTTCCTGCCTCCAAATGTGACCCAGGATCTGTCTTCTGTTGTTGTTTGTAAACCAAACAAAGCAAAAACAACCAAAATGCATCCATGAGTTCTTGTCCCAATATAAAATGAAACATGATAATCAGCTCAGGTTTAAGGTCACACTGAAAAAGTCAAACTCCATAAGTATAATAACAAAAATTGGTTCCATCATATTCACATTTTGACTGGACATTATGTATCATTAGCAGCACAACATATCACAAAAACCCATCCACTGGTCCCAACTCAGTAATACTATGCCACTGATAAATGTAAATTGTAAAGCTTGTGTGTTTCTGTTCGTTACATTCTTATGACAGACACAGCAGCTAAGCTAGCAGCCACAAAGGCTGTAGCAGCGGATGCCAACGCCACGGCCATAGACGTCCTGGAGCGTCTTGGGGATTTGAACCTGCAACTCCACGGCCTACAGAGGAACTACACCGAGCTGGAGGACACTGTCAATGCAGCCAATCAGATGATCCAGGACCCAGAAAAAAACAGTAAAGTTCTTCACTATTGGCTATCGACATAATGACATTATAATCAGAAAATATTGTTTTTTTGAATATTCCAGTTAACATTTTGGGGGCTAGTTCAGCATTGATAAAGACTTTATTTTTGATTGGTTAATTAGATATTAACCATTTGGAAGTCACGAAGAACTATAACCGCTCTCTGAAAAATGATTTGCTATTGAACTTATTTTGGATGAAAAAATGTGTTTCTTTCCTGTTTATCCATTACTCACTTCATTCGATGTTTTACCTCCTAAACATTGTAGTTTCACAAACAAAGTAATAACTAAAACCTGAAACTCAGTACCTAGTGAAAGATTTTTAAAATGCGGCTTTTACATTTTTTACTTTTCGGGCAGTATATGTATTTGTCATACATTGGTGAAATCAACCAAAAACTGACATTTGGTCTTTTTGTCTCTCTCTCTTTTTTTCAATCCCACAGCCATCAGTATGTATATTTAAATTACCTTAGTATAAGCACTTATTGTTATAAGTGGTGCACCAATACTATGCTGTCATCACCAAATAATGACGAGAGTAATGTTAACTACCTGCCAGCACATATTTCTAGGCATTTGTTGGCTTTTCCTTGTGAAATAATTTGTCAGGACATTTTCAATCACCACTAAAACACTTTCTCATCAACAGCATTGTTTAATGGGGTGTTGCCAGATCAATGACAAAATGATCTGATTTAAACAACAGTATCGGTGCACCACCCATTAGTTTTATGATCATCTTTAATAGCTGTACAGTAAACAGTAGTTGCTTCTAATAATGCCTCCGTTCCGTTCTACCCGGCTCTGCTCGAGCATGACAGCTCTGCACACTGCAAAGCATGGAACTCTCTCTTTCTTAATTTCTGTGTTTTTCAGTTTCCAGCCTAAATTTTATTTGAAATGGTATAAAAGAAAGCTTCTCTTTGAATGCTGAGCTACACTAATGGTTCGACTCTCACTGCCTTCTCCATCTTTCTCGCTTGTCCACCATATTACTCCTCCTTCTTTGAGTAATATTGGTGATTTTCACAGCTGCCATAATTTCATGCTGTCTCTGCTCTAATATTATAATAATATCTATAATAGTATTTATGATAACGACTACTGTACTGCTCGGTATCACTACTCTACTTTTCATCTCTCACCCCTCAGTACACGCTGCAGGAGCTAAAGTGAAGGATTTAGAGGATGAAGCTGACAGGCTCTTGGAGAAGCTGCAGCCAATCAAAAAGCTGCAGGACAATTTAAGGCGAAACATCTCGCAAATCAAGGAACTGATCAACCAAGCTCGGAAACAAGCAAACTCAGTAAGTTGTCAACACACTGTCCAGCTGTCAGCCTTAAATACTTCAAGAGAGTTTAAGTGTATGATGACACAATCATGTCCTCAACAACAGTTTTACAATCATTTATTCAGATTTCATGGTCATAAATATCTGTAAACTCACCTTGTATTACATTGTGTTGTATAATAAAGTTAATAAATGTATGCAATTATATTTTGTGTATTATTTATGAAAGTGCAGTTAAACGATAAACGTTAAAAGTGGCCATCCATTCTTCTTTTCCCTCCAAACCATGTCCATTAAAGTAATTTAAGGCTTCTTTTTTACGACCTGAGGTACATTTTGTACCAAATACTTGATGTTAATATCTGTTGTCTTCACGTTAGAAAAAGTCAGTTTGGGTCACAATGCCAATGTTTGAAAATTACAAAAAGGTTTACGACAACAATTTCAAAGATGTGGATATTATTTTAATTTCTCTTCTTTTTCTTCCTCTTTGCAGATTAAAGTGTCCGTGTCATCAGGTGGTGACTGTCTCCGTAGTTATCGCCCTGATATCAGGAAAGGGAGGTACAACACCATCATCCTTAATGTTAAAACCACCACACCTGATAACCTGCTCTTCTACCTGGGATCAGCCAAATATGTAAGTATGCGATTTACTGAATATATAGCACAAATTAGCACAAGAAAACCCAAATTGTCTGTTAGAAAATATGTCATTGTCAAAATGCTTTCAATTGTATGCTCAGTCTCATTCATTTGTAGATATTTTTTGGAGGCTTATGTGAACCTCAACTATAACCAGAGCAGTAATATGACTGGAGTTTAACCGAACCAGAGGGCTGTCAGGAGTTGGTCCTCACAAATATAGACAACACCATTACCAAAACTTTACTTTAACTGTGATCTATCATCTATGTACAGTAGAGACATAAAGCTATCAATCAGAGTTATATTTGCATGATAATAACACTCATTAAGTCTTTTTGGTTAACTAATCTGTCTGTTTGATCAACCTTTGTCTATATATGACTCGGTATCATTGCTCACAAAAGAGAAAATCCAGTTGACACTTTCAAATTGTTTAAATGTTTCATATTAAAACATTAATCATGTTTAATACAATGTTGTGGAGTATTTATCATACTTCAAAATGTTCCAAAGGTGTGCACACACACAAACACACTCAGAATTATAGATGCACAGAGAGAAGCACACAATTGCGTTCCCCTTTCTAAGCCACACACACACACACACACACACACACACACACACAC